TGATGCCATATCACACCAGTATATGGACATAATTATGTTATAACACACCCATATGGGCATGATGATGTCATATCACACCAGTATATGGATAATTATGTTATAACACACCCATATGGCCATGATAATGTAAGGGACACCCATATGGGCATGATAATGTAATTACACACCCACATGTGGACACCATGATGATGTTATAACACAACCATATGGGCATGATAATGTTAAAACACACCATCATGTGAATGATAATGTTATAACACCTACATGTGGACATGATGTTATAACACACCCATATGCGCACGATGATATTATAACACACCCATATTATGGGAAAGATAATGTTACAACACATCCATATGAGCATGATGATGTCATATCACACCCATATGGGCATGATGATGTCATATCATATCCATATGGGCATGATGATGTCATAGCACGTCAGCCATATGGACATGATGATGTCACATCACACCCATTGGGCATGATGTTAACACACCCATATGGGCATGATGATGTCATAACACGTCAGCCATATGGACATGATGATGTCACATCACACCCATTGGGCATGATGTTAACACACCCATAAGGGCATGATGATGTCATAACACGTCAGCCATATGGGCATGATGATGTCACATCACACCCATTGGGCATGATGTTAACACACCCATATGGGCATGATGATGTCATAACACGTCAGCCATATGGATATGATGATGTCACATCACACCCATTGGGCATGATGTTAACACACCCATATGGGCATGATGATGTTATAACACACCCATATGGGCATGATGATGTCATATCACCAACATATGGGCATGATGACTTCATATATGGCAAATCACACCTGTCATTTGTCACATAAATAATGACAGTGTGTACAACCTTTTGATCGGCATCCCTAAAGATGAAAAATTAATAGGGATGGCTCGGGTATAAAACCTCACCAAAACACAAAAGTCAGTCCTATCTTGTGTTGATAAGGGTAAGCTTAGTTAAGAAACTGATAGAATGATGTATTTTAGGCCAAATATATTTGATGGTTAGTTTCATGTCTAGGATTTAATTATAAATTATTTTTTGGTGAAGTATTTACTATACTATTCTGTATACATGGTAAACAGACTGGTAAATAATCAAAATTGTTTATTTATAAAAGCAGTATAATGAATCTATGTAATCTATCCTGCCGGTCATTGATGTTTCCATCTTTTCTTAAGCTTTGATCTTTTAGATCGTCCTAAGTTTTTATTTTCCATACAAAAATGATTGTTATTTTTTTTGTTTTAAGTAGCAAATATTAAATTTTTTCATGAGGCTCCAAAATTTTATCAGGAACGTGAAACTGGCAATTAATTTTATTTGGACTTAAAGGAATATAACTAATCAATATCAATGCAAACCTTGGACAGGGCTTGTTCCCAGCTGGATGCCGATGATCGAGCCATTTAATACTTGCAACTGCTAAACTCATCTCCCAGATCTGCTTTTAAATACAAGACGTCCGAGAAGGTTGAGGTTGCTATTATTAAAAACAACAATTTAATATTTAAATTACAATGTTGTCACCATAATTAACTAATCTGTTTGGGGGATGCGAAATTCGAGAATGCGGAACAATGGTTTAGCCAGAAAAACGAAATAGGCCTTCCAAAATATGCTTTAGTTTAATGCAACACTTGATAGATTTGAAGAATATAAGAGTTTGCTAAAGGTGGAACAGGCCCACAAATAGGCTAGGCCAAGCTGAGTGGCCAAGCTGTCGGCCAAGCCGTCACAGTAAAAGTGGCCGTCCTAAATAATTATAGGCCGCCCAAAAGACGACCGGACGGCTCGGTGGCTAAGCCCTTGATGCGGAACTAAATCCCTAATGCAATGTAAACCTAATGGTCATTTTAATTTTTTTGTATTTTAACCTACTTAGTGGGGAGGTGAGTCCATAACCAGCCTCCCACCTTCCCTAGCCTATGCTCAATATTCAAATTTACACCAGTAAATTTTTGTAAAGATCAGATACTCGACAACATTGATGCCGACGAAGTGCCTTCCTTTTTAAAGTTTAGGGGGCTATAAATTTATCTAACGGTGGGTTTGACAACTTCCAGTGAAAGCAAGCAGACAATGTAAGTCGAGAATTCTCTATGCAAATTACGAGAAGTGTCGATTTCCATGCAAATTTTTGAAGGAAATTAGTTCTTGTCATGTGTCTCAGTGGCAGACCAAGCATCTGGAAAGAAGTAAATTATTTTAGCAGAGAACACTGCTTTCTAATATGTAAATAACATTTATTGGTATGGGCTCCAAAATTAAAGAAAAAAATCAAAATAAAAGTTAGCCTCTTGTCAGGAAAGTTGGAAATCTTGTTGGGGAGTTAAATAGATCCTTTAACTTGTCAGATAATTTGGACCCCTTGTCAGGGAATTTTTGCACAGCCACTGCAATACAATTATTGTCTCAATATAACCAATGTTACATGCCAGACTGTATAGTAAGGCCTGCGCTATCCTCCGCTCAGAAATTCGGCAAAGAAATTCATCTGCCGAAAGGTCCACTGAAATCTCAGATAAGATGGTATAATACATACTCAAAGTATCGAAGTGCACGCCTTTCCATCTGCACATTTCGGAAAATAATGGGCTGATTTCTGTGCAGATTTTGCCGAAAATTACTAGGCTTTGATGAAACCTTAATATAATGCAATTATGCAGCAATTACGATTCCGCGCACCTTTTCCTAGCAAATTTGATATCAGATACGCAATTTAAAAACTTTACAGTATGGGTTACATTTAGGATTCTTCAGAATTATTTTCCAAATTTTTGTTAGATTTTGATGTAGGCTCCAAGGCCTAGAATCTGCTGCGCAACAATTTACGTACAAAGTGATGGGGGTTCGGCCAAAAACCCTTTACAGCAGTTTTTCTTTTGTTCATAACATGGATACAGAGCTAGAGGCTTATTATTAGCTATGGATAAATGTTCAGTAGAGGGCTTACCGTCCTAACCAAGGCTGAGCAAGCTTTATGCCTAGACCTGTCCGTCTGTGGAGGCCTAGGCCATTATAGCAGTATTCGTAGTGTAGAGGCCTACCTTTCTGCTACGGAGGCCTAGTTGTTAGTGTACTCAGTCAGAGGCCATGCAGTGCTTACGCGGAGTCTGGCTGGCCTATTTTTATTTTATTTATAACATCACTAACTCACCGTAACGCCACTATAACTAAATTTATTCTGAATACGTACTAGATCAATAATGTCTACTAGGCCTAGGCTTAGGAATACCTCTCTATAAAAAAAATTAAACGAAACAATTCAGTTTAACTTCGCCCGTATTAGACATTCGTGTACCGACTTTTGACTGCACGGTGCCCGTATCGTGTGCATTCTACCATGCGATGTTTGTAATGTGGTGAGGAATGAATCACTCATTTGTTGTAACGAATCGTTGTTGTAAACCGTTCTGCTTTCACGCATTTGGATAATATTTTTTAAATATTATTTCTTTCAACCTTAGCTGTATTGTATAATTCTTATATATTAATTTGGCTTATTATAATACTGTACTAGGTTAGAGTAGTAATAATACTAGTTCATGTCGCGAGTGATATTGTAAACCAATTTCTACAGGCTAGGCTAAGTTACTGTACTCAGTATCCCCCACGCGCTGCGTATTGATTACTGTTGTCATTGGCAACCTTAAGTAATGAGCTGCATGACCTTCTCTGTGAACGGCGGCGATAGTGATGACCTGAATGTGTATCTTAGCTCAAGAATGCGAAAGTTCGCTTGAAGTTTTTACAGGTAAATACTTTTCTGATTCATCAATTTCAGTTTTTAAATTGATTCACTAATGACACAAAACCTTTGAATTGTTCAGGTAGACTTTAGTATTCTAAGCCTATATGTTTTCTGGATGTTGTATAATGCTTCTCTGTTGAGTCTGAGGTAGACGACAAGGGCTAGGCCTAGGGCCTGTCTCCGATTCGTTCCTATCAACACCGAGTGACACTTGAGTCTGCGTTTTCGTCATACATACAGGAATGATTGCTAGTTGAGGTTCAAAACATTTAAATTTCAGTACAATTTCTATGCGTTTAAAAGTATTTTTTACTTGAATTGTAATCTTTTACAGGCAGATAGTAATAATATGAAATAGTAATGAAATGATTTAATGAATGAAGTTTGTTCCAACTTTTATTCCTAGAAGTAGAGATTTTGAATTATTGTACAGGTATGTTACACGTTATACATAGACTGTTGTTATTACTAATTAGTCTTTGCATTCGCAGACTATTGTGACAGTCATGCAATGCTTTCTAGTCAAAACGACAATAAGTCAAAACAGCAATGACCAAAACAGCAAAAAAACAAAACGGCAACTCTTTTTTTGACCAGAACGGCAATGGACCAAAATGGCAATAAGTCAAAACAGCAATAAACCAAATAAATAAATAAAATTTTAAAATACACAAAAAAGCAATAATAATAATAATAGGCCTAACAATATAACAACATACAAATTCAATAATAAAAGGATTAGGGGAAACACAATATAAAAGCAGTAAACATCCAAATAAAAAAAAAACTTTAAAATGACAAAAGGACACATCTAAACAATTCATCCTGCACCTGACGGCGCTTGCTCTTGGTATAGATTTTGCTCCTTTGAATATGGTCATTTTGGTATTTGTCATTGCCGTTTTGGTCTGTTGCCATTTTGGTACTTACTGTATCATTGCCATTTTGGTCTATTGCCGTTTTGTTTTTTGATGTTTGGTCGTTGCCGTTTCGGTTTATTGCCGGTATGACCTGCTACCCATGCAATTGAAAGCTCTTAAGATCAATATGTTATTTATTTATTATTATTAATAATACTATTTACTTATAATAATTAAGTACCGGTAACCCTATTTAATATTATGATAATAATCACACACCATTCTGCTATAAATTTTATATTTAGATAATTAATTTAATTTTTTATTTGTGATAGGGACAGATTACAGAAGTTTGTTAACAGGTTTGGGAAGATTATCGGTTCGGAACTGCAATCGGTGCACTCAGTCTACGAAGAACGACTGGTTAATAAGTTTGATAACGTGATGTCTGACGAAAGTCACCCGTTACATTCAACTATTGCTAGTTGCGTTATACAACGCAGCGGTAGACTGAGGGTACCGGCTGCTAACACGAACCGTTATTCTAACTCATTCATTGCGAGGGGCATTTACCTGTTTAATAGTAGATATGTAAGATAGTTATTATTTATTGCATTAAATTACTTTTCCTGCTCAACTTATTGAAAGAGCGATGTAATTTCCAAGGATTTGGATTAATAAAGTGATGTCTGTGTCTATATTTACCAGTAGAAGATTAATATGCATTAGGATAATTAAAACGCTGTGGCTAGGGATACAGTACCGTATCTCATCTTTCCGTTTGCTAAAGGTACGATAAATTGCATCATCCAATAAAATGCCGCCAACGGTGTGACGTCATTGTTCATAAGACTTGTGAAATCGCTCACTGAATGCAGAGGAAGATGGTGAAGTAACATTTAGCACTTTAATTTCTTTAATATGAATTAATCCAATTACGGCACTAACATATCCCGTGTCGCGGTCTAACAAAAATACATATAAAACAATATTTAATAAACAATAAGCATTGTATTTATTTACAGTAAGGGCCTACCCATTATATTTATAAATCTCATATTTGTAAAAGCAAATTTCACAAATATTCGCAGTTTTTAATTCAGAAGAAAAGTTCCAGCTTTTCTGGGAGAATTTAATTTTTTTGTTTAAAAGAAGAGGGAAGTTGTCCTTCAAAATTGGATTTTAGGTAGAATTGAGAGGCCTGCTGTGTCAATGTGTCATGTTCCCCAAAAACAAATAAAGTATAAAATTTAAAATGCCCCAACTACGAACCAATATAAAGGCACCATATTATTAATTGATTTATTTTGTGATTGTTAATTAGTAACAACTACTGTATACTGTACAATTATAGCCAAGACTGTACTAACAATGTTTTTCCGTGATAACATTTGATTTGTTATTTAACAACTCTCTGCTCAAAAAAATAAATTTATAAATAAAAATACACGCCATAAACGTCAAACTATTGAATCCCAACACGATGGCGTGTATTACATTTCTTGGATTTGGATTTGAATTTTATTGGGTTCACTTTTGAATCAGTGCCACCAATCATATATGATTGTGCACCCAGAATACAAATAGACATAGAAAACAAAAACAAGATACTAAACTAAATTCAGACTAAAACTTTACACAAAATATATTATCACAGCCAGCGATTTCTGAACGATGTCGTCATGCTGGTGGCGGCATTTTATTGGATGGTGCAATTTACCTTTCCTTTAGCAAGCAGAAGTTAAGATACTGTACCGTATCTCAAGCCACGTTGTAATTGAAAATAGAAATTAACCCAAGAGTACAATTGATTACATGACAGCTGAACCTAGGCCATGCAAGTTATACAGTGTACTGTAGGTTATCATTTTTGGCTTGCCTCTCCATATTTGCAATGAATGCATTTCAAACAACACAAAAAGCAATAAAAATGAAAGCAAAATATTTTTTTTGTCATCTATGATCCGTTGAATTGATAATTATAATATCTGAATGAGAGTGACCTTCTTGGTTAAACATTAGCTGAGTAATGTTTATTGTACACTCCGTGTTTGAGGTTAAAATGTCATCAGTAAGTATTTAAAGCCAAGGTTGTTGAACTTATTAATTATAAAAAAAATGTTCAACTTGATCTGAGATGTTATTATGACATTTGTGTATAAATTCTTACAAAACATCTTTTTTTTTTAACAGGAAATCATCTGCAAGACATGGATCGATAATTTAGTCTTAGAAGAAACATTGGATCAAACATATTTATTGAATTCAATTATAAAAACATTACAAACTCAGTTTGAACAATTAATCCGTTTTGTGAAGAAAAAAAGAACTGCCAGGATATAATCGACATTCGATCCTCCCAGCTACAGCTGAATAATGTAGGCAGTTCACTTTCATTTTGTCCCCTACATTCTGAACTTTTTTCTGACTGCAAATATGTGGGGAATAGAAGGCCAAGACATCTATAGGCTGGACTTTGGAATATTCTAGAGAAGTGTTACAGTTCTGGGTAAGAATTTAGAATATTTGTTAGGAATTTTTGATGTATTTTCAATTTAATTTGATTTTTTTAGCCATTTCCTTGTACCGTTGTCTCTACAGAATGCTTAAATAGAAAATCAATGGTGTAGAACGTGGTCTTGAAAATACACAGAACTTTTACTTAAAAGACCCTAGGCAGTGTAGTTTAAGTACCTAATTATAAGGTTTTTGGGTAAAAAAGTTCATAATTTCTATTCTATGTCAAATATTGCAAATGTGGTTGATAAATTTCTTATGTATTGTAGGAGATAACTTTCTTGTATATTTTAGTATCTTCTATACAACTGTGCACAGTATCTATGTGTGCATACGTAAGCATGTTTGTGTAAAAGCTCTGAACAGATAGGCCTAGATAAATGTCAGTCATATTGTATAATACTATCTATTGTGTGCTGTATATCCGGCTAAATTCTAACAACCAGAAAATACAAGATGGCAGATGTAGATTATTATTACTGTATTAAATTCATATGATTTGATTTTGCATCCTAGAGAACTCCATTGCAGTGTTAAAAATTAATTAAGATTTATTAAAGACATCAATGACAATGAAACTTGAAAATGTATGCAAGTTTTGTATAATTATAAGTAACTATGGTAACAATGGGTACCACCAGCTGCTTTTCCATGCGTCCATGATTTGTGGCATCAATGATTCAGTAGAAAATATCACATAGGCCTAGCACTTGTTTAAAACATTATTCATTGTATTATTTTGTTGCTGTTACAGTACACACAGTGGGGCGAGCAATACAAATGTAGTGCATTTCATTGTAATTTCTTCTCAAAAAAGTTAATGTTTTCACCTTTGTTTTTTTTTTGTTAACTGACATATCAAAGAAAAAAGATTAATTAGTGGTAAGTTATTCTGTCTATTTTAATTATTTCTTAGTAAGCAAAAACTGATTTATTCTATATTTTAAATTTAATGCAAGGAAAAATATAACAGGATTATAATATAATAAATTTCATGAATTCATTCATTTATTTTATTGGCACAAATGGCCCAGCTGCTGTGTTATCAACAGGTCTGATTTTTACTTAATTTGATTTTTAATAACAGTTATTTTCTATACTGTCATGTTAAGACAGATAACTTATACCAGTACCTCTTTCTTTTTGTCTGTAAGATCCTTTAATAAAATGTAAAACATACAATTAAGTAGGATTATTATTAATTTGATTTTGACTGACAGATTGTTCTACTTTGTCACATTGAGACAGAAAACCCATCGTCTGAACTTGTCTTGAATGAATGAAATTCATAAGATGTAAATGAAACACTAGAAAGAATTAAACTATCAGTAGGCTGATAATAAGTTTTTTCTCATAGTTTTGTGCAGTTTCTTTCCTCTTTCCTAAACTTAATAATAAGATTACATCAAAAAAGATAATAAAATCACAAATTTCATGTCTAATATTATTTTCCATCACAAAGTCAGAATATAAATTTTTTGTGAGATTCCGTAGCAGCAATGAACGTAATAAAATGTTTTTTTTTTCCTGTGGAAATTTAAACAAAAGAGAATATGCCAACGGGTAAAAAATAAAATTGTATATTTATTAAAAATCACCAATATCAGTGGTGGTTCGTGATACAAAGTATAAAGAGTTGCCTAGCAATGTGTTAGCTTCACGATAACGATAACGTCCTTCATTTCAAAGTAATATTAACTAACCTTGAAATTGTAGTAAATTTTATACAGTATTATTTTGAGTAGTATAAATTGGGCAATAACAGTTGCAATTTGTTAAAAATAATGAAGTCTACCTTTAATTATGTAAAATGTAATCATATCCCTGGAAACTGATCCGTCATAAGTACTGTATACAAAATGCTTGCACTTGATTTAAAAAGCGTAATTCAGTATTTTTAACTGCCACTTGTGAACGAAATAAATTGAAATTGAACTAAATTAAAATTCCATTGACATAGTAGTTTGATTTGATTTAAAGCCAGAAAGAAAGTAGACCAAATAACAATTTCTTGAAGGATTAGCACTTATAGTGTGGTTTGTGAAAACAAATATTTGTTGCTGTTGCACCTTGTAGGCAAGTGAAATCTGCAAAATAATCTTTTGTAAATTTTATGTGTGAATGTTTTTACTACTGACATCTTACAATTGTGTTTCTGAGGTCAGTCATCGGTACCTGGTGGGATAGCCTGATACTGTGCCAATACTGCAACGTTTCAGCATGTGGACCCAAAGACCAGGGATAAAAAACGCTTTGTAAACCACAAGGAAAAGCGCCATACCAGTAACTAGTTTAAACATGGTTATCATCTGCCTATAGAAAGTTCACAAATACTTGTGAAAATGACTTCTTTCAAATGTTGACCTATTATAGTTTGTTCAGGAATAAATCTTTGCACACATTGCAGTTTATTGTAATGAGCTCAAAAAAATCTTCCTCAGTCTAGTGAGCAGTATGTTAGGCGTGATCAATATCTTATTTGGAGACACACTACTTAATCATTATTTATTACCTCTACTTTATTGCATAGAGATTATTTTACAACATTGTTGTTCAAGTGTTATACCTGCTTGTTTAGTAACACATGCTTGACGCGAGATATACAATACACTATCTCATTCATGGTACTGAATGTGTACGGTACTTTAAAACTGTGTTTTCTTTTCGCTTGGTTTCACTTTATTCCAGATCATTTGCAGTTTATCTGTTTTAACCAAACCTACTTTAAGATCAGTCCTTCGTCATTAGTAAGAGGATACTCATCTTCCAATTCAGCAGTCTGCCTGCGCAAACTAGGTCAGGTCATCGTTTTTCTTCTTGGGTAATTTCCACCTGCGGGTTTCAAGATCGGCATTTGGCCTATCAGACAGCTCCGTAGAAAACTGCTGGTATCACTGGGAGGGTCCTTTCTCGGCCAATTACCCTTTGTCTCTGTGATGTGTACATTCTGTTAGATGCAAAAAGGTAGCATGCGGTGAAGCTGTGTTTACCCTTCTGCGTTACTACCACCAAGTTTGATGTTAATATGGAAAAAATAAACAATGTCGCACACGTTATAATCCGCCAGCCTTTATTTAAAATCAGACATTCTTGATCCAAAGTCTGCGTTTTAAATTTAGAAACTGCGTGTTGGCTAAACCTTGTTTTTTTTATTCTGAACCAGACAATATATAAAAAGGTTTTAAAAATTTCTGACAGTAGTATCGTCTCCGTGGTCTGGACTGGTTGATTTGTACAGTTCTCTGTCCTAGGTTTCATCTCTCAAAATCTACAAAATACCATTATTCACCAGAATAGTTGTCAAACATCAGGTATGTGCTTTATTGTAAATGCTGTGTGCTGTACTTATATTAATTCTTTTTTAGGTTCAACTTGAATTGTTTATAATAATTTTTCTTTAGTCTGTTGCTAGTGTAGTCAATTTTATAAGGTTGATACCCTTGGCTGGTAAAATATTGTTTTATAAAGTCTTTTACTTTTAAAATAAATTTGTTCTTTGGGAACCAGAATTTCCAAGGAATTAATATAAAATTCTAAATAAAGTTAAATTAATTAATTAATTAATTGATGTTTCATAGTTTATAGTTGGTATTCTAACCCAGTTGCAACATATTTTGTTTTATTTAATCAATAAAAAACATTTTGCAGCTTGGTTGACTACATGTTTTGTTAATTGAGCTCATTTTATGCCTTCATGGTGCATATTTTATTATGGTGTAAACACAGTAGCACCCAATATTTGCCCTGGGTTTTTTTTTTATTTATTTTTTTTATAAGCATTCTCTATGAAAATAAGCAAATGCACATATTAATTAAGACAAGTGGTCAAAAATACCAGTTAATTGCAAAAACATCCATCCAATAATGTCACCAGTATACAAAAGTTTTACCATAAAGTTAAATGTAAACTAATATTGAAAACTGATATTGTAGACTTTTTCAGAGAATTTTTGAATCTAAAAAAAAACCGCTGATAATTTTTAATTGACCAAATTAACCATTTTTTTCCACCTGTAGAAGTCTCATAGTACAGGTGGATATTATTTCAAACTTCTAAAATTAGCTACAGTTTCAGCCATTATTTATATCCCACACGCTTTTATATATAATTTGTCACTTTTCACAGTCTTAACATTTCCTTTTTTAATCGAAACAAACAAGTAACAACACCTGGTTTTACGGAGGTGATAAATCTGATGTATAATGGACTGTTCCGCTAAGCCACGCCCCTTAGATACTGTTGCTAAGGTCCCAAAAAACGACAGCGTAAACGTAAGCAAACATCATGCCTTTGTAGGACATCACAAGTTTTGGGGGCAAGTGCATATTCTTGGCTCTGGTCTGTTGTTCAGATTTTAAGTTAAATTGACAGGTTATTTGTTAAGACTCTCCGTCAGCTTTATTTTGGTTTAATTAAAAAATATAGTGAGTGTTTCTTGCACTGAAAACGTGCATACAGTAAGCTTGTTCAAACATTAGCAGTCAGATAAGGTTATTAAGCATTAAGTTTTATTTTTTTATTATACACAAACAGATGTAGTAAATCTCAAGATTCTTTGCATGGTTTCTTTGATGCCTGTCACACACTAGTTAGGCAAGACTGTTTTTATACCTGGTTAAATGAATCCACCGCCGCCAATAATGATGATTTTGAGTAAAAATAAAATTTTATTTTGGCCAATTAGCGCACCCGCACCACAAAAAAAAAAAAATGGAAATTTCAGAAAAAATATAAAAAGTTTAATTTTTTTTCTGCCCTCAGATAATCTTTAAAAAATAATTTGCGAAACAATAAAAAAAAAAGACTCGCCTTAACTCAGCTTTCAGCTACCGAATATTAGATGCGTACTGTAAGGCATTTCTCATTTGCCAGTCCTTCATCTTTTAATTTTTGCTTTGAAGCATGTCATTATGCACTCATTACTGTTACGCAGTTGGCTGAGAACGTGCATATTCAATTGGTCAATCGTTTCCTTTCACCCTGAGCTCTATTCTCAAGTCCAAGAATCTGATGTAAAATGCGCCTCACAGAGCTAGTATCACTGCATGAGACTCAAAAGATCTATGCTATCCTTTATTTACTTCCTTACGGGCATATATTCGTAGTCTGCTGAGTTCATTTTATATGTGTGCTGTAGAAAAGCTGAATTTCTGTTACAAGAAGGCTTAATAATTATGTTAGTGTTTATGGAGAGATACAGTAAAGGCAAAAATTCAAAAAATTAACAAGCTGTTCCTTTTTTTTTTTGTATAATTTGTCAATATCATATTTCCAATGAATGATTTTATACTCAGTGGTTGATTACAGAATGTGAAATGATCCGCCTTGTAACTTGCATACAGTGTGACGTCAATTCAATAATAAAACGACTGCATTAGGTTGAAGTGAAATTTATTGGAGAATTTATCTTTATATTTGGACAGGTTTGATCAGGCACAGCCTACATTTAGAAAGAAATTTTATGTTGAATCAGCAACCTTCATGTTTGGCAAGTCTGATTTTATACATGAAATTAATTCCTTCAACATTGCTGTTTCATACTAGTTGTACGTAAGCCATGTATCATACAGTTAGTCACCCAATGGCATAGAGAAGCATCTGGATGTTTTTATTTGAACATAATTGTTAAGGGATTTAAATAAGGACTGAGTGATGTGTGTGTATACTGTAGCCACTGTATATATTAGCAATATTTTATTAGTGTTCTGTGAACTATAGGCCACACAATTTAATTATCAGGTAAGTGATACAGTGATTTTCATTAGGCCTGCTGTAATTGATATGCCAAATTAAGTTGTGCTACTGTATATATCAAGATCAATTTGTCTTAGGACATTTTTTGCAATTAGGATATTAGAATAAATCAAAGGAAAAACTTCATAACCACGTCATCATTTTAGGTTATTGGAAAATGTTGCACAAAAACTGTTTTGGTAAATAAGAGAAGTTTTTTAAGGAGTCATCAACATTTCATTTTATACTTACAGTATTTGGAACAATGAAAAAAAAAAAAAAAAAACACATTGGTTTGAAGGTCCTAAAGTTTTGTTTCATCAGGCTCAACAAAAAGTGTCCCCACATCTACAATTAGTTGATTACAGTTTTTAAAATTATTTATTTAAAGTATGTTCAACTATGTTGTAAATCACTGATTTATTGCATTTATTGCATTCATCTACAAAAAGTGCATGCTAAAAATTGCCAATAGCAAACTTAATGAAGCTGGGGCAGATGCAGTTGGTGAAGGGGGGTCAGACAGTGCGATTGCACCGTCTGCACTCCCCTACAATAAATGGTATTAAGAAAAATAATTGTTGATTTTTAAGGTGTGAGAGTGCAATTTTTGGACACCTAGAGGTCCTTATTCCCACGCATCCCCTACTACCAAATTCTGCATCTGCCCCAGTGAAGTGCTATAATATGATGGCAACTGGCCTGGGTGGTCAATCTCTTTCAAAAGACAAACACACAAATAACGCTGTACAAAAGTCTATGAGATACAGGACTTGAAAAAGTGCGCAACCAGCAGTTGAAGGTACAGTACTGACATTTAACCTGGAGGCATTTTAGGGAAAAAAATTATACACAATAATATACACTATAATAGTGTTACAGATAACATTTGGTCCTGCAGGCATCTGATCAATCTTCATTGCCGGCACAAAAAAATTTTTCCATGCCTGATGAGATGAGAGTTGTTTTGGCTATGAGGAAAACTATTAGGTCACTTTTAACAGGACTTGGGTCTGTCTCTTATACACCATCTTTAACCATCAAGGCTACAGTTCCACATTAACAAAAAAATATATATTTAATGTATTGAATCTTGACAAACATCAATGTTGTATTTTGAGTGAAGATCTGTGCAGCTGCAGGTGTTACATGCAAAATTGTTGACTTGATGAATGACAAGAATGACAAATGTTGATTTTATTGTTTGTATTGATTCATGGGGATGACAGTCTTTATCAAAGGCACAAACCACAAAATGAATCATATCGCACATTTAGCTGATACAGTACTGTACAATGGTTACGCCAAAATATTGTACTTGGGTTGGAAACTGAAGGGGTTTTTCCGTGGAAATCGTTTTTTTTCATTTTATGGTAAGTTATCTTGGTCATATAGAACCACACAAATTTGAAAAAGTTGTACCTTGTAGTTCCGCATGGTGTTTGAGTTGTGTTTAGTGCAATATTTGGTCAGTTCATGGTTCTTTAACTTATTTTTGTGGCTACTACGCTTGCGCAAAGTAACCGCTCTGTCATCAAAATGCTTTCCCGATGTAAGTGATGGTAACTTTCGTAAGTCTTTGATCGTGAACCGAAAACAAGGTTACGAGTAATAGCTGAATCTACCGCATTACAAAACCAAACAAAACTACTTGATTAGTATTTTGTTCTGCAAATTGTCAAATGTAAGTTTTTTGTAGATGTTTGAAATTGTAGGCCTACGTAGAGGTACTGATTTTAATGTGTTACTATACTAATAGTAGTATTAGTAATATTACAGTAGATGAAAATTTGTTTTGACATTTCATTTTGGGTCTGGTTTTTCCGTTGAGTTTCAGTTTACATTACTTCAGTATAGGTTAGCCTATGCTGGTATCTGTCATTGGCCCGCCAGTCAATCGTACGCTACGTCATTGAATCGTAGAAGCCATAGCTAGACTAGATCGTCCACAGAGACTACGCTAGGGCCTACAGTAGTTATTATGAGGGGTGATGGTAGGATTTGCCCGACGGGGGTCCGATGTCTCAGTTAAGAGCAAAGTGTACATGGTCGGGTGTCGCCTAAAATCATTTGAAATTGGTCCCAATGGCGAAGCCCCCAAAAATGTTGGATAAGTTAAAAGTAGTAAAAAAAAACATGTAAGCAGTAGACACACACTCCTTCTGGGAGCATATTTTTACTGTATTCTATTCATATGACTATCTTTAAACGTATGCTCTGTAATTTATTAATATTGTGTATAATTATAAGTAGGTTTAATAGTATCTTCTTTTATGTATTGGATGTCACAATTTTATATTCATAGACTCTATAGTACAGTATGTACTGTATTGATGTTGTTCTTAGCTTTCAACGACCAATGTAATTTCTGTGAGGACAAATATATTTGATTTGGATTCTGATTCATACTGTACATAGTATTTTGTTATGTCAAAACATAGGATGTTGAACTCACATTGTTGACTGTAGTCTATACAGGATATCTCTTAAGTGTTTCTCCAAATTCCTTCACTTTGCATATTATATTCTAAAGGTCAGTAAATTATTGCCACCGCACCTGCAATATTTAGATTACAAGATAATACTTTGAGGGAATTTTTGGGGAACCAGGCAAACTAAACCAATATTACACAACACTCGTCTCAATAGATCCGTCCATCTTTTACTCACTATTGATGCACATTGCAAATTTCTCAAAATGGGGAGAGCTATCGAGATGAGAGTTTTGGGGTAATAATAACATAAATTAACCTGTACTCTAATCTCTATTAAAACTAATTGTTAACCAATTTGTAGTTATCAGTGTACAGTAGGTGAAAGTAAATATATTATGTTACTTGATAAACATTGTACTCCCTTTTCTTTCACAGTTCGTTTTCTTAAAAGAACATGACGATGGAGAAATACGAAAACTTGGGTTTAGTAGGAGAAGGGAGCTATGGAATGGTGCTAAAATGCAAACATAAGGAAACCAATCAAACTGTTGCTATCAAAAAATTTCTCGAGAGTGAGGATGATAAAATGGTGAAAAAAATTGCCATGCGGGAGGTTAGAATGTTAAAGGTAAATTGTCAATTTTTTTTTGCTGTGTTACTTCTTTGTTCGATACACCAGACAGCAATTGAATTCGGTATCTGGGTCAAATATTCCTAAATGTAGGGAATATTGAGAAGGTTGAAGTCTGAAGTTGGGGATATTCTGTATCCCTATTGTACTAATTTCTTTTGGGAGGCTTAGGTATTTCTTGAACATGATGAAATAGATGGATGACCTCTGTAGATAATATGTTGATTGTTAATGTACTAACATAATTTGGTTGTCCTGAATGGACACTCTTTATCTTGTTTACAGAGCAGATTAATTGATTAGTTATCTTTTTAACACGAAAGATGTAAGTTTTACTGTAACGTTTGCAGTCTAACATATTCGTGTTATTATTTAACATGAACCTGCTTTGACCTGTCAGTCATATTAAATTAGAACTGTAGACCTCCTGAGCTCATGATTTCTAGATGGATTTCTCTGAATGGCTTATCAGACATGCAATGGGAGGTCTATGCCACAAGCACAATAAAGGTTGCATTATTAGAGATGGTGTTACCTGTGTTATAAACACTTGTTATACTCTGAGAGTGTGAACGAGTATGATGTGATTAGTTACTCAAGTATAAGCTAAGAAATTGCCTGGGGGATTGTAGTGAGGGTGAAATAATGGGGTGGCCCCCATGGCATGGCAAGAAGATGGAAAATGATTTTGCCGGTATAGCCTATATGAATGCAAACAACTGTATACATCCTAATTATGTATGCTAAAGTTAATTCTTAACACTGAACATAATTAAAATTAGAAACATTTAACATAAACAGTCAATTTAACATTATTTCTCTTAAAGGAAATAGTCATCAATGCAAAAGACTTACAAATTATATGACTAAATAATCTCTATTTTTGGGGGAATTTGTTCTTGTCAATGACCCAATACACATTATGGGCGACACTTATTTAGGTCACAAGTGACACCAAGAATTAGGATAGTAGAACACTCAATGAGCAAATGTCACTGTCAGAATTCCCAAATGGAGTTGAGTACAGTATTTGAAATTGTCATGTTCTCTAGAATCAAAGTGATATGTCAGTATACAGTAATTATGTTTATCATTGATTTAACTTGCTGTCTAGACTTAGTTAACAATATGATACCACTTTGGGAAGGTATGAAAAAAGGATAACAACGAAACTTTACAGTACGCCAAATTAAATTCCATGTCTTTCTCGAGGTTAACTATTTAACACTCAAGCACAGTATTTTGTGCAGTTAATTAATTTGAGACATGTTATGGAGCACAGTGCTAATAATTGCCTAACACAGGCTGCTAATTTTAATCTTATCCATTAATTTATTGTCAGGTACATATTCTCAAAAGTAAAAAATAAAAAATATAAAATGTTAAGATATCAGCCCTTACAATGGTGGTTTACAATGGGAGTAGACATCCAACTTTTAGGTTTTCTTTGAAAATTAAGTTGGACTATAGTAGTATGCAGTTGTTTATTACTAATTATATAATATAATATTTTGACTATATTTGATTATATTTTTAGAATTCATCACTACCAGTACCACTGAGTAAAAGTGTCCTATATCCAATGATTCGTCCTCTACTGAAACTATTTCAATCCCAGTCCCAATCATCCACAACCAATGCCTTCGTTGCTAAGCAATCTATGACCTCTGTTCATATGACTAAAAATATAGTTCATTTGTAAACAATGAGAGAGTTTAATATGGACTTGCTTGATCTCGATTGCTAGGTCAAATGGAAGGCCACAAATAGAGAATTACTGTAATATACTCTTTTACATTTTCCAAGCCATACGAGTCTTTAGATAGAAAATTAAGATCGATAGTGGGGGTGGACGTGGTCCCCCAATGTTTCCTAGTAATTGTGTACAGTAGAACCTTATAAATATCAAACTCTCAACCACAGTAATATTTGCTTATTTAATTTGGTTCCATCCATGGGGGTCAAGAATTCATTTTTATGAGCATCACCAAATTGGAAATTCAGTGAATCAATTACAGTAGCTGGTTAAGGAGTATATACATAGAAAACGTTGCGATATATTAAGATCCTCTCAAGTTGCGTGTCTAATGTTTACCCTCAATGTTTACCTACTCTGTAATAATATACCTTTCTAATGGCCATGAATGTAAACCCGGAATACAGTATATGAACACACTGCTGTGGGGCTTTGTTGGCTTTTTTTTTTCGATTTGACAGTCTGTCCAGAAACTGACCTACTTTCAATCATCCAGCGTCTGTTTTTGTAAAAACGTAATGATGATTTTTAACAGTACAGATTGACCTATTAGTATGTAGTGTAGTTTATTTTGTGAAATGTTTGCATAACACTAAAGTGTATTTTCATAAGTAAGAAAGCAAAGAATGTTTTTCCTACTGTATGTTAGGACAATTAGTTAACAACACATTGGGCTATTATTAGAAATAGAGCTCTTGATGGCATTTCATTTGTGATATTATCTCTACAAATTTTGTGTTGAAAATTCAAAAGCCAGTATTGTAATAAAGCTGAATAGTATTAATTGTACCCCTGCCAACTGTCTCGCTCTCTATCGCTTAGCTGCCAGACTGTAAAGTAAGGCCTGTGCGGGGAATACATCCTTTTTTGGAATTTCGGAAAAAATTAAGGACCAATTTCAGCGCATATTTTGCCGAAAAATAGGCTTTGACCCAATCTTAATAATACCTGATGTATTTTGCAGTAGTTGTGATTCTGCGTGCCTCTTTTCCTAGCAATTTTCTGTGCCAATTTGAGCTATTTTTTGCAGCATCATCAGTGCACTATAATAATTTACAGAATGGCTCTCCTGTATTATTATACATTATTAGGTATTAGCGAAGCAACAGAGGACCATTCCATGCTTAAATTTGTATTATGTAAACATAGTTAATAACTGCACAATGTTTCTACTCGAGAAAACTGGTGTACTTCCAGACCAGTGACAGGTTCTCTTCATGATTCCCATTAACAGTTTCTTTGTAATTTGTAATTCCCCCAACTTTGGAAAAAGGCAAGATTAGCCAATCAATAATAAGTCTATTGTTCTGTACTCTCATCCCGTAAATTTGTTTTCTTCATGTGTGAAGTACTGTAGTATAAATAATCTAGCTTAAATTGTGCCTAGTCATCACCAAGAAATGTTTTCTCTTTATTTAGAAACAAATTTCATCTTTTTTTTTCCTTCATACCAGTCAGATGTCGAACAATTTTGTGTTTGATGTGTCTGATGTCTTACAGTACTGTACTGTCATTTTGGAGGTATAAAATAAATCATTTACAATAACAGATAGGCGGGTACAGTAGATTTAGGGTATTAGTGGCCCGGATTAGATATGGGATGTTATAATGAGATCTAGGCCAATGCTTTTGTAGTTATTGATTTTGGTTACTGTTACAATAAGCTGTTGCGGGGTTCCTAAGATCTATTCTTCTGTGACTTGTTATTGTTGATACCTTGGTAAAACATCTTTTAGGATGCCTTTAAAAATACTGTACATCATTTTTCAAGGTATCAAGTGATCGCTCTTATTGTCATTTAAGCTGGGCACTCACTGTGTCGTGCGACTCGCACAACGAATCCAACTCGGCTCCCTGTATGCGCTAAACCATGTGATGCCGCCTGCTGATTGTCGGCGGCAGTCTGAATGGATTGTCTTAAAAAACGATCTGTTTGCACGCGCATCGTCGCGTTAAGTTCTTCATAGAATTGCATCGGGCACGGTGACCGCCGTGTCCGCCCGGCTTTATTTCTGATTTTAAGCTTATTATTCTTATAGCTTATATTGTTTACTTAAAAAGACAAACTGGTAGTCCTTCCATAGCCTATGTTTTATATTCTCATGAAAATGAGAACAGATAGCTCTGTAATTATAATAAAAAAGTGCCATATGGTATTACATTAGTCGGTAAGCCTACCATTCTCAAGATTCAATTTAAGATTCAATTTGTTTGTAGTCCAAAAGGAAATACAGAGCAGAATACTTTCACTGCATCACAAGCATTTATTAAACAACATAAATTTAAAATAGAAACAACAGTATAAGAGAACAACCTTAATAATTGAATTAATGTCAGTGTTGAAGACAACTTGAATTGTGTGAATAGTTTGTAACAAATATACAGTAGAAAGTTTGTTATCTATGTGCACATCATAGTGTAGGACCTACAGTAATTGAAAATTTAACTGATTCTTTATACTGTATTGTTTGTTTTAGATCAAATTGTAATATAGAGTATTGCATTCTATTTATTGTATTGTCTAGGCCTATATCCAGTCTCATTTATTCATTCAGTATATTTTTTATTACTATGTTGAGCGTTGCAAGCTGATAGGTCAACACCTTTGCGACCCCAAGCTGCTGTAGGAGGCCCGAGGTACCGTTCTCCCGGGAATTTACATTGCTATTCAAAATACCATACATGCAGTATAATGTATTGAATGTACAGTAGAGACATGTTTATAAAATATTTATGTGGTGGGATGCATTTGGAAATAGGAGAAACGACTAAGTGTTGTTGACAATGTTTGTATCTGTGTCTTTAAACTAAATATCCAACTTATTGACAGCAACACATGTTGCTAAAACATGATGGCTAGGTTTAAATGTTGTTAATAAAACTTTTTAGTTTACAATTCAAATTCTTTGGTTTGGTCATGCATCCTATAAAGGTTTAACATACTGTTATCTTTAATATATCCCATAAGACATTTAACATTCCCCTTAAGTAGTACCTTCTCTATGCACTTCTAAAAGGAAAAAACAATGTCGTTCGAAGAAAATAGTCACTCTACTGGGGTCTTTATATCTGTTTGTTTATCGCCATGCAAATTGCTCAATAAACACACTTTACACTAACAATAGCTTTACTTTTTTTTCAGCAATTAAGACACGAAAACCTAGTGAATCTCATCGAAGTTTTCCGGCGTAAAAAGCGTTTGTATTTAGTTTTCGAATTTGTAGATCATACGGTACTAGACGAACTTGAACGATATCCAAGCGGCCTTGATGAAATCATGGTGAAGAAGTGTTTATGGCAAATCTTAAAAGGCATAGATTTCTGTCACAATCACAATGTAAGTTTCCATTTAATAGACATGATTATATTATATTTCTTGTATATTTATACAATTTAATTTCAAGACTAGGGATTAAAACTGAATTTAGTTTAGCAATCATCTGAGCATGCTTACATTAAAAATTAATTTTATTTTTTTTCAGCAGCTCATAAGATGACAGGAATGTAATTTTATTGTAAATAAGGTGGGAAAAATCAAGTGAAAGATCACATACTTGAAACTTCAATCACCTTGAACATTAAAATGCTATCAGTAAAAGTAAATTTATGCATAAATATGTCTCAAGTGTATTACAGTAATGTAGAATGGAAAACAGTGTAACATAATATTTGAGGAGAGTTCCTTTAGAAAATATAGGTTAATAAAGAGATTGGAGGATAGGGAAAATGTCTAGGAAGTATATTCTCAGAAATCGGGTAACCAGAGAGGGAACACTACGTCTGAAAACAGTCTTTCTTTTCTCATAATAAGATAAATAGGGATACAGAGGAAGAGAACACATATGCTCCAGGCTATCTTTCCTCGGAAATTGACTTAGAGAAGACAATGTTTGAAGTGTCGTTTAACAATCTATCAAAAAGGAAGCTAATTAAATCTATCAAAAGAATCAAAGTTGAAGAGACACAACCCTTGGTGAATAGCATCTTTATCAATCAATCAACATGCTTTTGTAAAGCGCCATCATCCACAGCAAAATGCGACATTCAGTGTCGCAACTCATTAGCTATTCCGGCAAGTAAAAAGTTCAAGGTAATTGTGACCATGGACAGATCAAAGGCCGATGTGAATCATTGACTTCTTAGCAGAGCAATTTAATTATTACACTGTAACCTTAATAACCAAACTACACATCTCCATTAATAAATGATGATAATTGGCCTTTGGACAACAGAATAACCGCCTCAAACAGTATAGCCCTTGAACTATCATAAATTCACTAAAGCTTATCAGATTCGATAACTTTGGATCAACTAGGCCGATATTTGTTTATTTATAATAATTTTGAAACAATAAATTAATGTTAAAAAACATCAATATTTTGCATTTTTTATGCTTCAATCTTGCACTTAGGAGTGGGGTGGGACCAGCTAACTTGAAAGCGTTATAACGAACCTCTTTCTTATGATGTCCCCAAGAATTTATTTGTTTTATTATTTTTTTGTTAGATTGATCAAATGAATAAACAAAGTGAAATGATCAGTCCTGTTACAAAAACCAGTAATCACTGATTGTACATTAGCCTTCAAGATACAAATATACCACTGTCAGCGCTAAAACAGAATATTGCTTACGATTATGTAGAACGAATTATTAGGATCACGGTGTATGTTGCACTGTATTAGTCGTTGCTTAGTCAATGATACAGTACTTCAACTTTACATAGGATTAAATGAAAAAGAAGTCTAGGATTACAAATTCATTACAAAATGAACGAGTCATTTGATTAAAGTCGATACCCAGAAATTTAATCAGCCTACTCTTCAATTCACAAAAAAAATTTTACAAAAAAATTTAAGCTGACCTACTGCAGTATTATTAAGTATATTGATTGTTTTTTTTAAACTTGTATGGTTAGGATCCGTAGATACAGTGTTCGGTTTCAACCCCTCGGGTGAGTGAGCTGATTCTGTACTATAAGAACTGCATCAATACTATCTTTGCCCAGAGCTACAAAACAAAAACCCTGTGTGGTCATTGCTTGTCACATCAAAATTTTCAATTCATACACTAAAGAAATGCAGAGAGCCATACACTAAAGAAATGCAGAGAGCCATGGTACAAGTCAATTATTTTTGTTCAGTGAAATTAGAATTGCAGCAATAGAAAATGAAACAATATGTTTTTCTATCCTCAAGCTATAGATACCAACAGTTGGTCAAAGTTATTTTTAGGTTCGTGTTAATACACATGACTGCCGTGTTTGTATCTCATCTTGGTAACAAGTAAAGGAATATGAGTACGTTTATTGACTACCCTTTTGTCTTGAGCTTTCCACTCTAACGAACTATTTTCAAATGAGGGTGCTGAATCGCTTAATTGCTTTATATTGATAACTGACAGTAGATAGCAATGAGATTAATCAGAAGATTATAAATATACATTATAAGTAATTTGGCAGGTAGTCAAGCATTGTAATCTAATTAAAATCATTAAGTGTTAAGCAGTCAATTGAATTAGAGTGGAACTAAAAAGAAACACAAATTATTTATTATAACATATCAGTGATCTTTCCCGGTATGTAAAGCCCCTGACTATCAAATATTATTTGACAAAAACATGTGACATGGCTAAATATGGTCATGATTACATCACATCATGATCATATATAGGTATATCATGACTATATGGGCATACGTTTTTTGTTATAAAAAAAAATTATATTTGATAAAGACAGTCATTTATCTATATACATCTTAAATATTTTATTGAGTGCTCTATGTACCGACTTGTATAGTAGTACAGTTATATTTGGCCAGTAATTTTAGTGTGAAATAGGAAAAAAATGACATTGGTATCTTATTGGGGACAAAACAATTTACTATTCACTATTCAGTTTCTAAAACTCTTTCTTCTTTTCGCAGAGCCGTAGGCTTTACCCATTATTAATTACAGTAGGTCTATAAAGATCAACGTAGACCCATGGCAAATTGGTATTTGGTAGAATACGATACCTATACAACAGAGAGATGTTATACATAGGTTTCTCCCTACATGTCCCCTGGGTGAGTTTCTGCCCAAAGGCCTTTGGTCCACATGTGATAAAACTTGGGAGGTTGATTATTAATGGCATGTCTTCTGTATGGCATTGTGCTTTTCAGTAAAGTGGTCAGATCTTAGCCAGAGTTTAACTCGGGGCCATTTGAATTGGAATGCAAACAAATACCGAAAAAGCCAGAGCATTTATTTTATAAAATCACTGAAAAATTGTAAAAAAAAAAAAAATTGTGTGTACTCCAGGCAATAATAGTATGGTAACAATGCTACAGGTAGTGTTATGGTACCGTACATCTAGGTAACATAACAAATGCACACTGCTTTACCGCATTGATAAGGAAAAAATAACGGTAAGAATCTTTTATCATCAATATCTAAAAGGCCTAAATACTGTAGTATACTTTTTCTCATGACTACAACCACTTCGTAAGCTTCATAAAGCGACTTTGCTGATAAAAGCATCATTTTACTATAGGGCCCTGAATATCAGCTGACCTTCTAGTATACGCTGGAAGGTTCACCCTCTATAAAAATGTTTGGAACAAAAAAAAAATAATAAACATTATAAGCAGCAATAAATTTCATTTAATATAAATAATATAAATATATTTGTAAATATTCTATGAGCTAATATATGATAAACATGAGTTTTTGTAAAATATGATAAATGATTTAAATCATTAAATATGCAATAATTGTTCATGGCTTTACATGTTTTTAATTCATAGATTATTCATCGGGACATCAAGCCAGAGAATATACTAGTCTCCAAATCGGGTGTCGTCAAACTCTGTGATTTTGGGTTTGCTCGAACCTTAGCGGCCCCTGGGGAAGTGTACACAGATTACGTAGCTACCCGATGGTACAGGTCGCCAGAACTTCTTGTTGGAGACACAAAATATGGAAAGTAAGTGGAGAGTAATGGTATTTTGTTTAATGACATCTGCTACCCCCATTTAACAAAACACACGAGGGTCCCTCTCATGAATAATAACAGGAGGTGTTTGTTCTACATATGACCATTTACCCATAAGCATGTTTGATTGGGTAATCACAGGCAAGACTTGACCTGATCAGGGAAATGACTGCCCCTGCCCAACAATGAGTTCCAGGATCCTCCTGACTTGAGAGAAGAGTACTTGTTAAGGGTCCCACCTTGCGTTACAGGTATTCATTTATTTATTTTTTTAAAAAAGCAAGTTCTCGTAATCTCGAAGGTTCCGATAAGGGCAGTACAACAGAGACAGTAGAGTATATTTGCCCTAATGGCTGCCCATACAAAAGAGATCTATTAATCAACCAGCTGAGTGTTCCTAGAGCTCCTCATCGGAGCTAAAGAAAAAGAAGATCTCAATGGCTGTGTACTGTACAGTACATTTCAACCATTCTCATGGTCAATGACAGCCAGGTGTCTTCAACATGATGAGAGCTAGTGGAACAAGTAATGGTTCATTACTATACATAAATGAATAAAGTACATTCTAGAGAAAAGAGCTGGAAATTTTGTTTACAGCCCAATTTCATCACCAGGTGATTACTGTACATTCGTTCATTTGTTAGTGTTAATCCATAATCACAGGAGCTACACAGGTGTTAATGTAACTTCCTTTAGCGAATAATCGCGAATAATACTTTATAATTGCTGTTTTCAGTTGACTGGAACAGTCATAGCAGGGTCACCAGCGAGCAGGTTGACAGAATGACCCCCACTAGGGAGTACAGTGGAGTATAGCTGTTGAGGGTCTCGGCGGGGAACAGGGGGGGGGGGCAAGCTCAAATTTTTTAGTTAAAATACTGGTAATATTGCTTTCACAGGACAATTTATATTTTCCCCTTCCCATCAATAGTATAATTGGGTATCCTCATAGGATAGGTATTATTTGGAAACGAATTCAGTGTTAAATCACTACCTGGAAACTAAATACACCTCAGGAAGGAAGGAAGGATGGACTATGCACATTTTTTATAATTAGCGGTTGGCGCATCGGTTGTGGCTCTCAACCTTGAGGTCGGGGGTTCGAAACTCTCGCTGTGCAAATCGCTTGTGTCCTTGGGCAAGGCACTTTATCTACTGTTGTCTCTCTCCAACCAGGAGTACAAGTGGGTACCTGGTAGGTCTGAACACAACTGCGCTGATTAATAGCTGCAATATTATGGAATTCTCCCCAGGGAGCTGAGTATGTGTTCCAAAAGTGTTTGATCCAATGACTGGGGTAGTAATGTGAAGTGCTTAGAGGCATTGTGCATGAAGCGCTATATAAGACCGACATATTATTTTATTATTATAATTGATTTTGTATCCAATGACCAAGTGAAAAGCACCTTGAGCAATTCTTCCTGAAATGATATGTGCTATACATCCTATAAATGTATTTCTCATTTTTATTGATTCAACATAATGAATTTCCTGTTATGATATTATACAGAGCTGTAGATATTTGGGCCGTTGGATGTTTACAAGCTGAGATGTTGACTGGCGAGCCCCTGTTTCCTGGCGACAGTGATATTGATCAGTTATTTCACATCATAAAGTGTTTTGGTGAGTACTAACTTAAATTGATATTATTAAATTGTATTTTATCAATACCCTTTTAAAGAATGAAGAAGGGAAAGAAAAATCAGTTATTAAAGTATACGAAGTAAACTTTTACATTAGAATACATTTATTTTGTACTTATTAAGGAGGCCTTTATCTAAATTTGTTCCTTGAGTCTTAATATTCCTATTTTAAATTTTAAGTTTCTTTAGTTTATTAGGGTCCATTCTAACAATCTCAGGAATTGCACGTAAGGCGAGACATTTTTTATTCCTTGTTTAGCGAACCTACTGCTCGCCAATAATGATGATTTCAAACGAAAAATGAAAATGAATTTTTCTTTATTTTTATTATGCCCGCCGCTGCCTTGAAATCTCCAAAAATAAATAAAGTATATTTCTTCCTAATTATATAAATTTAAAGCATTTAACCATCCCATTATTACATTGTTTACATTCATCAGTAAAATTTCATTTTTACTTTCTCCTCTGTCTGGATGTTCTTGGCAAAACTATTTAAACTATCAGAAAAAACGAATTAAAAAAAACAAATTTTTTTTGCCCTCCCTTTGATCTTCAAAAAAATAAGTTTGCGAAACAAGGTATAAAAAAAAGTCTTGCCTAATTGTCAAAAATTTAAATTGGGCGGCATTTGGCACAGCAACAACATGATAGCCAGCTGCAAATGTTGCATGGTTGTTTGCTCAGACTAAATTTAAATACTTTCACAAGAATAGAGAGGTATTGTGACTAGGAGGTAGACCAACCACAAAGCTGATTACTACAGTAAAAAAAGAAATTAAGGAATGCTTAATTTGGTTTGTTTAATACTACGTCAGAGATCGCTCTAGCAAGAAAGATCTTTTGAAACGTGCTATATTGACAGACAAACCTTGTTTTTAGGTTATAAATAATAAAATTTGAATTGCTTTGTATATTTAAGTAAGTTATTACCGTAACTATCAATTTAAAATTAGAATGAGAATATATTTTTCATGCAAATTAGTTAGATTTATAAATACATTTCTAATATTTGATGCATCCTTCACTTGGGTGATTGTCGGTTTAAGGAATTATCAAAAAGCCTAAGATCAAGGAAAATTGACTTATCTCAATATATTTGGAAGTTGATAACAAATCAGATAGATAAGATAAGATACAAATTTTATTGTAATCTATATAAAAATTGAAGTTAAACAATTTTCTTTCAAACAAACAAATCTAAAAATCTAAAAAAAAAAATGATCATACAAGTTTAATAATTTAGGATACAGTACAGTATCAAACATTTTGTTTAATAAAAACATAATCCCTTCGACTGTGCAGGGAATAATTGCCATCCATTAAACAACCCAGTATAATAATAAAGTTTTTTGGTCTGTTTGTATATACTTGGGTAGAGATAATTCAGTGATTGTCCTTAAGTTATAAGATACATTACGAACTGAAAGGAGTAAATCGTTTGCGACTAGGATTTTTTAATTTTTGAAAGTATTCCCTGCACAGTCAAGTACGTCGATTAATTTTTCTTGCAGAACTCCTCTGCAAATCAGCAACACTGAGAAGGACTTCCTCTAGTAATATAAAGAAAAATAAATAAATAAAAATATAATCAATACAATGTTTTTATGAATTTTTAAAGGATTTTTCTTGATATTAATATCCAGTATATTTTTTTATATATGTCAATACGAACTGAATGATAGGCCATCAAGATATTCTGATATGATAGTAGCATGTATGGTACTGTCATACTGTGTAAATGTGTGTTTGCCTTTCAACAGATATATGATTGAGATGTCCCCAAGTACTGCATAATATGACCTATTGTGAGGCTATAATTTCAGGAAACTGACATTTCCCCATTATTCAATCTTTAAAGAATCATTAACTGAACATAATATCATGCTGTTGACGTAATGGTTTGCCATTTTTTTAGTTGTTAATGTCAAACTCTGATGATTTCCAAATGTTTATTGAAGATTCTGTCTTCTTTGTTTAACGGTAACATCCCTTGTGATGATAAAAACATGACAGTTTAATCTTGGCAACTGATTGCCTCAAGACAAGAATGAATGTAAACAAATAAATCTCTTCCTTTTTTTTGAAAAATGTTTTATAAAGTCAATTTGTACCTTTTTTTACAGGTAATCTAACCCAGAGACATAAAGAAGTTTTTATTAAGAATCCGCTGTTTGTAGGGATGCGGCTACCAGAGGTCAAGACGGTGGAACCATTAGAAAAAAGATTCCCCAAGTTGTCTTCTTTGTCTATTAGTATAATGAAGGTAAGCTGTATACAGTATTTCTTTTATTTGTGCATACTTAAGCGTAGTACAATAAATTGGCATTCAGACTCAAACAAAAAAATAACATGGTAAATAAAATGGTATTTATTGATACACACATCGATCGGATTGGGGATCAGATTCAACAATATTCACTAAGCGCAAGCTCGGAGGTCTAGTGGATATGACACCAGGCTAGTTATCTGGAGGTTGTGGGTTCGATTCCCACCTGAATCACTTTGGGAACCTACTGAGTATTCAGTACGATAGCAGGTATTTTCCTGATGCAAACACACATATACGCAAAATAACACGGCTATAAACATTGAAACATGAAAATGAAGTACAATATCATCCACTAAATTACAAAGAAACAATTTATTTAAAATGTTGAGATATTATCAAGAATACAACAGGTCTTGTCAGAATGTATGTTTGATTTCTCAAACCTATAACCTAAGACATCCATCCTCATAAATTCAGTTCCTTTTGTATGACTTACAAACTTTTCTGAACGTACTCAATGGAATAATTTGGATATATCCACCATTAGTTGTAAAACTAACAACTTTAAGACTCATATGAAAATATTTGTTTATCTTAATTACCAGTCAGATATCTATAAAAAAAAATACTCATTTTGCGATTTGTAGTTTTAATATTATTATTATGTATTTATATTTAAAAAATATGTATGATATTGTTATTATTATTATTACTTTTTGGTGTGTTGTTTTAGTTGGGGTCATCATGAGACAAGTTTATCTTCTAGTTTTGATTCCTGATAATGATCTATTTCTTTATCCTTACTAGTATCTTTTTTTTTACTTTAACGTAATTAATTGTCTGCATCTTTTCAACGTAAATGTAGCTGTTTGACCATTATGAAATGAATGTTCTACATACCGTATGTGGTATACAGCAAGCATTAACTAAATTCAAACTGTAATTATTTTTCATCTCAACAGAGCTGTTTACAGCTGGAGCCAGACAATAGGCCTACTTGTAGTCAACTACTGAAGCATGAATACTTCAAGAAAGATGGCTTCTCTGACCGTTACCCGGCAGAGTTACGTGCCAAGATTCAGAAAGAGATACAGGATAATCCATTACTACGGGAAGGCCGAAGTGACGGCAACAGTGCCGATGAAAAAAAGAAATCAAAGCGAAGTAAAAAGGTGAAATATGTGGCATTTCTTAAATTTCTGGTTTCAAAGATTTATGGAGAATTATTTTCAAATGAAAGTACACATGCTCATTGCCAAGTGGTGCATCCAAAATGCACAAATGTGACTATAAAGTAAATTTATTACTGTTCTTTAAATGATGCACACTCGACATAGCATATTTGCTAAACAAATCTCACTTTATATAACCTATAAGTGTACTGACAGCCACTGTAAGCCTTACGTTAAGTCAAGCTTCGTAGAAAAGCAAAATATGGTATGTTGTACAACTGATTTTTCTAAGACACAAAAAGCATATTTGACCGAAAAACTTGGGAGCGGTTAAATGAGATACAAATTTTTGAATTATTAAAAAACTGGGGCGTGGCGGGGTCGTAACTACCCTTTTCTCCACCTTTTCCCCCAGTTTTTTAAATATTCAAAAATATGCCCCGGATTTATCAATCTCAGCTTAGCGAATGTCTTATGTCAAAAAAGTTAAGATGTCCCTAAGCAAATATCCTAAGTTGATTTATCAAACCATCTTAGCAAAATCTTAGCTTAAAAATCGTCTTATATGGCACATGCATACAATCGACTGTTTGAGTTTAAGCAATTTTTAAGCTAAAGTAGCATTGATAAATCTGACTTAAGCAAAAAATATGGACTCAAGGCGAATTTAAGCTGAGTTCTAGTTTGATAAATCGTGCACCTGTATCTTATTAACCACTCCGAGTTTTTTTCACCCATTATGGGTTAGTGGCTTAGAAAAATCAGTTCTATAACATATCAAACATTTTTTTCCTCCAGGGCCTGACTTAAAAAAAAAAAAACAAAAAAAAAAACATAAAATAACGAAAACAGATTTAATCTCATCCACCATCGTTGAATTGAGCAATTTTCTTGGATATGATATCATATGTAATACTTTTTTGTAGCACGATGCCAGTCTAGATAAGGAACGAGAACGACATAGGAAAAAGCATGCAGAGTCAGAAAAATTAAGGAGGGCTTCAGTCGATACTGTGGCTGTGGAAGAAAGACAAACCAAGTCTTCACCAGAGAAAATTAAGGTTTTTATGTTTTTGGTTAATCATTATGGTGCTAATTATGGCTAGGGTAATGATGATAAATATACAATTTAAATATTACACATAAAACCAAGTACCTAAAATTTTGCAGTACTCATGAAGATGAATTGGTGTTATATTAAGATAATTAGTACCATAATAATTTTATAACAATTTATTTATTTCTTTGTAGGATATTTATGGAAGCGAGTCACTGCATGATACACAGCACAAGTCCAGCACAACTCTCCACCAGCATTCCACCCCCTCTGCCAACAAAGGGGGATCCCCGATCCCACCGATCAGCCACAATGGACCCACCAATCATGTATCACAAGGGCCTAGCCTAGCAACGGTCAACACATTGAGTATGGGCTCCGTGTCTCGGGGCATAAACTATTCAAATAGTGGTCCCCCTCCTTTAAGGTAAGCACTTACAAGGGATTTTTAATCAAAGGAACTCAATATAGATATTGAAGATCTGTGAATAACAGGATGGAGGTAGTGTAGTGTGGTTAAGATGCTTCCCTTCAAATCCTGGGGTTTAAATTCTACTCTCTGTTTATCAATTGTATAATTTTTTTGCAAGGTTTAATTCATCGTGCAAAGACTACAGTATTATGATTGGTAGGGGCAGTTAGAAGCCTCACCTTCCAATCCTATGGCCTTGGGCTCAACTCCTTCAGACCCTGGACAAAGTTTTTTTTTTCTATTATGAATATATGAATATCTTCCAGATGTTACTTTATAGAACATAATATACAGTAAGGGCCTGTAGTTAATTGTTTATGCATTGAATTGAAGAAACAGATACCCTTTGGTTCAGCAGTACCATAAGGCTACTGAGCATTTCTTTTAATAAATACTTTCCAATCAGTTGATCGGGCAATTAGACCTCTAAATTTACATAAATTTTTCAAACTCTTGCAGAGTGAATGAAAAGTTGAAGAAACCCAACAACAACCCTCTGTATAAAAAGTCACAAGCAGTCCCGTCGCACCACAGCACCAGCTTGACAACGCAAGTACAGAGTGAAAAGAGCGCCCTCCATGAGAAAACTATGCAGCTAGACAAAATGACGTTCAGTCAACGAAAGAAAGGTAACTCATCGCCACGACAAGAGATAACCTACACACACCTACCAAACTTAAAAGGCGCTGAAACACCACGTAAGGACAAGTTTTTTTTACATATCTTCCATGTTTACTTCTACAAAAAGATTATTTATACTGTATATTCTTGCGAATAAGGCAATCCGCATATAAGACGACCCCCAAGTTTGAGAAGACTTGAACGATTTTTGTATGTCGGGCATATATGACAACCCCCGGTTTTACCATCGAAATTCCTACTTTTTGCTGCTCTTTCTGGTCTTGGATACTGCATCTTGCTGGCTAAAAACAGATCCAAATGTAGGGCTACTCTTCCAAATAATATCACTGTATGGGCTATTAAATGTTCATCAAAATCATTTTTCTCCACATTTAAAATTGTGTTCATTCATATTAAGAGTTACTATCTTCAAAAACTGGACGATCTACACATAAGACGAACATGATTTAAATAAAAAATTTGTATGTGTTGTGCGTGTAAGACAACCCTGTTTTTTAATCGTAACTTGCTATTCAAAGCCTTGCCTTATATGCGAGAATACACGGTACATAGAAATAGAAAGTCCACTTTTGTTTTGTGTGAATAAATGTTAACTTCTAATCAGCAGCTATGAAGGGCATCCACTGCATTCTGGTAGGATAGTCTTGGCTCATTTGTTCTAGTAATTTTTTTTTTATCTCACAGATAAACCAGAGAGGAAAGCCAAGCCAAGTAAGAGCCTACATGGTACCACGATGCCTTCCATATCAACCATGGACCAGCGCCATGACAGCAAGTCACCGAACTCCCCAGACGACCGATATAAATCCAACCTGCCAGCTGTTTAGATTTAAAATCCCCACTGCAAAAATCCTCATCTAAAAAATGTGCTAGATTATAATAAATGTACATAAACTACTAAATATATCATTCTCTATTTTTATTTTCTCTTTTGGCTTTTGTAAATATTTATTATTACATTTTTATTTATGATACATATAATATTTAGTTGACGCGTCTGTGAAACAGATAGGAATGGAAATGATTCCTGGGGGTTTTTTTTCCTTTTAATATACACTTGCGGCTGAAATTTTTTGCAATACTTTTTTAAAAATTTCAATAGTTAGAATTAAGAATTATATTCTTTATAATTGGAAAACAAATTCTAATTTCTTCTTGATACCAAATTTGATAAATTCTGGCAACACAAGTCTAATATAATTTTTTTTAAAATAATACATACTCCTTGGAGTATGTTATTCTGTCATCTGAAAATAATCAGTGGACCCTCTGGTTTTTGAAGTCTATCTTCCCTATTTTCTGTAAGAGGGCGACATTGAAATAGTCTATAGGCCTCCCGCTCCAACATTGGCATCTGTTTTATACTGTATTTAATATACAGTACCTGTGTAATAATGAGTTATAACTGAATTATAGGTGTAGAATTCTACAATTAATATGCCATGTCATTTTCCTCAAGCCTGTATATTTCAGGTGAAACAAAGAATGCAAAATGTTTTTACAACATTGGTAATATCGTATTATGAAGTAGATTATTTTCTTGAATGTATTTTTGTTATTTAACCTTGTTTAAGATGATTAGTAAAGAAATTTTTAATTTATGAAAGGAAATCCATGTGGCATGAATAATGAAGTAATGGAAGAATGAAACCAGCATTTAAATAAATTATGCGCAATACTATTTTGTTAGGTTAACAAGGAGACAATACTTATTTTGATTAGTGATTCTTGTATGTTAAATATCCAGGTACTTCAGTAGTGGCTCAAAAAACATTATTCATGATAGCTTTATCCCTTACATTTGCACAAACAATACAAATAATTAATTGCCATATAAAAGGAAAAAAAACACAAATTTTATTTTATAATTTGTCAGGGTCTTAGCAAGAATATGTCCTTTGGATAGGAAAATGTTAAATTTTAAAATACTGAAATTTAAATTTTTAAAATTTGTACTAACTTCTTGTCATCATATGTCTTTATTAGCATTATCATATACAGTATTTAATCTGATTACCAATTCAACTAACAGAGATTACAGGTTCACTTTATTTTTAAATACTTTTGTTAACCATTGTTACTTTTATCTTGCTTTATAAGTTGTACGTAATTCCATATAATGATTTTTGTTTAAACTTTTATATTATTTGTAAGGAATTTGATTGATGTGTGCAATTTTTATAATAATCACCAAAAGTAGAAATTTTAGATTTGAGTGTCTTGTTAGTATCTGCATTGTCAGTGCCAATTTATCATTTGAAATACATAATATTAATATGCTTTTTGTTGACATGGTTAAATCAATAATCTTGAATATAACTACATGGAGGTTAAATGAAGAAACCAAGACAAGTTACTATGAAACAGTGGCGTATCAAGAGGAGTACACAGGGAAAAATCCCCCTCCCTCAGTTTTTCCCCCGTAGAAAATGTTTGAAACCAAAAATCATGCTCAAGTAGTAGTTAAAAATCACTTCATATCACCTTATTGTGGGAGCTAGTTCCTCCTCACTTAATCATTGATTCCCCCCATTCACATTTGTTTCCCCCACCCCATTTCAAAACTCTTAGATATGCTACTAATATGAAACTTTGAGGAAAGTGATGTAAGAAATTATGATTTAATGTCTTTTTTTTTTCATACCAGAGATGATTAAATACCTTGAAATATTTAATCATTAAGGCTTGCAATACTAAACAACTTTTTATTTTTCATATTGTCTTGAAAATTTAACTAATGATTAATAAAATAATGAGATTATCAAAATTGGAGTTGCTGGTGCAGTGGTTGAGATTCACCTGCTCTCCTGTGAGGTCGGAGGTCATTTAGACCTTTGCTCTGAATTTCACTTGTGTCATTGTGCTAGGCATTATGCCTACAGTTGTCGCCACCCAAGAGTATAAAGTGCACTGATTACTGCTGCAATATTTTTATATGGTTCCATGGGCGGTCGTTCCAATGTCTGCGGTAATAATTTGATAACTGCGTAAATGTGTGATAACTGGGTAAACATGCGTTAACTATTATTATTTTAGAATGCGAATCTTTAAACTAAATTTCACAGATGTGTGAAGCTATCTACTAAACTTACCCCATCCAATAGGCTTCCGTATTTCATGGGCACATCTATAAAGACTCCTTCCTCACAGATTCCATAGTAAACCTTCCACAACATAGCCACATTGTAAAATGCCAAAACCTTGTTCGTGTGTTTTCCTTATTAATTTTGATTTACCAAATCTTCAATGGTGTTCCAAAGTACTTGCCTACTGTTAGGTTTACTTCACAATTAATCCTTCAGTGTTTATAGATACTGTGTTACTAAGAAAAATCTTGAGAAATAAATCCACTTGGACTGACAGGTTTCATGAACAGTAATTCCTAGATTTTTTATTTTTATTACTTAAAAAAAAAAAAGGATGGTTTTGGTCAAGTTGTTGCTTATTGGCCAGTAATAAACCCATTCATGATTTCAGAATTACAACACCTTTGTTTTTGCCTTTATTAAATTATCAAAAATTTGGAAGTAATTTGTTTATATAAATTATTATGAAGTTATTCTCACAATTATGTTACTGTACTGTACTGAATCATTTTATGGAGCAAGTATAAGAGTATTTTTTTTTTTGTTAGATCGACCAGAAGTATTGTCTTCAAATGTCTGGTACAGTGGGATTTATTATTGCAAAACAATAGCACAAGTTTGAGGGAGGGATGTGGGAGGGGAAAGAAATTGCAATTTCACAATTGATTTTGCAAGCAAAATTGAAACTTTGGCAGTCTAACTAGGTTAATAGGGGAACATACTACTATCTTGCCCCTATGGATTTGCTAATGCTGTATATGTGAATTTATATTTGTATTACTGTACTGTTATTATATCCACCTGGTCTAACATGCAAATTTTTCAGTAACTGTGATGGTCATGTGACTGGTTGTATACAATTTGATTTGTTATTCATTCTCATTTGAATAAATTGAAAGATTCAATGCATATTGTGAGTGTATTTGTATTGATGCAACCAATCGTTTTTAATGACGATTTATTCAGACTGTTATAGACAATCAGAGCTGCAGTATCTCCTGTAGGCCTGTTTCAACAGACATTGCACGACTGTAGGTCAACGGAAAATGGGCTATATAAAATGGCAGTATAAAACCTGTTTTCTACTAGGCGAATTTATTCGCTTAAAATCGAAAGCGTTGGTTCATGCACATGCGTATTCACATTTCAGCAAAATCAGTAGTTCAAACTGTTTCTTTTTTTTTTCTATGCAAAAAAATGCCCAACCAATCAGAGCTCAGGAAGCGAACCAACGCGTTTGATTTGCGAGTAAATTCGCCAAGTGGACCACTATCATATATGCATTTTTTTTGTGAAGAACCAAGCATAGAGAAACATTAAGAACTCTGATTTGTACAGGCCGCATAGGCTTAGCAGGAACTGTACTACTGCCAGGCTGTACACACTGTCATTGGTCAACGAAGAAATGTGAAAACTAGTAGTAGCCATCCTACTGTAAAATGTACTGAAAACTTAGAAAGTAACAATTATCTGCCATGTCAACTCAGACGTACATACTTCACAGCACTGCAAAAGACCCATCTTTTGTTGTCACGCCTTTTTTAGCTCCTTGGTGGGCTATATAAAATGGCAGTATAAAACCTGTTTTCTACTAGGCGAATTTATTCGCTTAAAATCGAAAGCGTTGGTTCATGCACATGCGTATTCACATTTCAGCAAAATCAGTAGTTCAAACTGTTTCTTTTTTTTTCTATGCAAAAAAATGCCCAACCAATCAGAGCTCAGGAAGCGAACCAACGCGTTTGATTTGCGAGTAAATTCGCCAAGTGGACCACTATCATATATGCATTTTTTTTGTGAAGAACCAAGCATAGAGAAACATTAAGAACTCTGATTTGTACAGGCCGCATAGGCTTAGCAGGAACTGTACTACTGCCAGGCTGTACACACTGTCATTGGTCAACGAAGAAATGCGAAAACTAGTAGTAGCCATCCTACTGTAAAATGTACTGAAAACTTAGAAAGTAACAATTATCTGCCATGTCAACTCAGACGTACATACTTCACAGCACTGCAAAAGACCCATCTTTAGTTGTCACGCCTTTTTTAGCTCCTTGGTAACATTATGCACCATTTTGCTACCAAACTTTTAGTCTTGGGGAATCACTCTCACTAAAGAGTCTAGAATTGCTCTCACTCGCACTTGCCTTGGTTAAGTCGGGTTGACACTTATGTCATGATGTCATCTTACTATTAGCCAATCAGAGCACTTTGTGTTTCCTTCACTTCACTCTTCACAAAAAAAAATCTGGTACATTACTGTTCAATCATCATCATCACCACCAGTGCCACCAAGAGGGGGGGGGAAGATCCCCGGGGCCCAAGCCTACCAGGGGCCCATAGAAATTGCAGGTAGCATTTTCTTTTCAATACTTTTTTTTCAAAAATAATTATTACTATTATGGGCCCTCAATAATGGCATAGGTCCCCTAATAATGGGCCCCTCCAGATTGCCAGGGTCACCCAAAAAAATGTTTGCGCCTTCGCCGTAATCTTTCTTGCGCTTAGCGCTTGTAACTGGGGGCCCACACCAGCCCTTCCCCCTGTTACTGTTTCCCCTGTTGGCGGCCCTGATCATCACTACCACCATGAAGTATCTTATGCAAACAAAAAAACTACAGAAACCCCAAATACTGTAATGACAATAGCTTTACTATACATAAATTGTATTTGTACTGTACAAACTGTTTCCAAAACCTCTGTGTAATTACTGTATTAAACCTTTACTTTGTAGTTACTGAACAAACCATTTCCAGGCAACTTCCATGGCATGGAAGGCTGAAACCCCTGCACTGTAGGATTAAGTGCTTTTAGCATTGAAAGTTTTCTTCACTATAAACATAGTATTATATAAATAAATAACATGAAAATGGAACTTTTACATTTAGTCAGTATATGGAACTGTGGTTAACTGCTCAATTTCAATCAGTATACTATACAAACGTGTATGAACAATGTTTAAATCATTTGTATTCAGTCCTAGGTACTAAGACACCTTTTACATGAGTTAAATAATGCTGACATTAACAATGCTGGTATTATTACTATTGACTATTTTATTTATGTTGCACTTATAATAATAAAAATTATCCATGGGTGGAACTTCAAATAAAAAAAATCAAGTAGATTTCTATTTCTAGAATCATACATAAATGAATATAGTGTGTAATTATAAAAGATACATAACATTTGATTAATTAAAAATAGGATAATGTGGTTAATTAATATTACAACCATTTAATTAATTTAAAAAATAGGGGTCCTTTTGTTAATAAATCAGACACATCATTTAGTTAATCATTAAGAACAATCTGCTGGGTTGTACCTTGGTTCAGACTGTGTCATAAAAGATGTAGCTGATATGATTTATTGCCCACATTTGTCTTGTCGTAGAAAAATGTCTAATATTTTCGAAAGACTACCTGATTCATTCTTATGATTCATCACAATGACACAGACCCGATGCGTCATGTTATGTCAAGATTTTTTTATCATACAAATTTTTCAATGAATTTACAGATTGTCATTCGATGTATCTAAAATATAGTGTTATAGGGTTAATAAGGTAATATGAAATTTGATTTACTTTTGAAATATAGAAAGTGAGACCTCACAAGTGGGTGGAATGTAAATGGATTATTAATCAGTATTGTAGAAAATATATATTTTATATCAAATCTAGAATAGATTATTTGACTAATATTCTTTAAAAATTTACTGGAAAAATTGGAAAGCATGTTAAATTACAAACATTTATTATAAACTTTTAACATGAAAAACAAAGTTATATTCCCAACAAAAAATAATAACAGATAAACCACCAAACACACAGCAATTCAAGGCGATGAAATGTTGTATGTAGACTAAGAAAAAAGATAGAAATAGGCTACATTTCAGCACCATTTAAAGTTACCAAAAACACATACTGTACAAGCAACTATAAACATGGTACCCTATTTTTAGACATTGACACACAAAAATAATAATAGTTTTAATTTAAATAATAACACATTGTGATGCTTGAAAAATGGGCTTCCCATCAGAGCTTTCATGTATGAAATACATATTACACTTGCTATCACATTCAGGATTGGACATGAATAGTCTTCTAATCCCATTGTTGTGGGTGCAATTAATTTAACAGCAGGACATTTTCTCACGCCTGAAAAAAAAACTCCACTCCCTAAGCCTCATGAAGAGACTTCACTGATAAAAGCTCTGAAATATCAGCCAACCTTAAGATATGCTGGAAGGGTCACCCTCTATAAATATGGTTTAAAAAAAGAAATACCAAATGCATCAGAAACTTACAAAACCATACCTAATGAAATATATTGTATAATTATATGCAACTTTTTGTTCATATTGTAGCATAGTTAATTAGATGCAGTTGTATGACACACAGGGACCATACCCTACTCAGGCTATCAGCTATTCTCTCTAAGGTTAAATTGCCAAATAAGTCCAATTATTGTACATGATGTGTTAAAAATAATGCCTTCGCTTAAGCAACCTTGATAATTGAGGTGATGAAATAAAACGTTTATACTATAATTACTATTCTTAATATGTGGCAAAGACAAGCCAAACCTGTCACTCGTCGCAAATCATATTTCAGAGATAATGGCCAAAACATGCTGGAATGTCAAAATTGTATCAATCTATTCTTGTGACTCTAAACTAACCTTTATATATCTATACATCAGGCTATGCTGTTATTTTTTCCTTTTCCAATGTTGAAACACAACTGCTAACGATTTGGTGATGGCTTCTGCCTGAGAAATGCCCAAAATCATACACTTTAAAGGCTAATTTCTCAAATACTGTTCATTAAACAGCTGTATGTTTGAACGCTTGTAACTTCATATGTAAATGTCGGATTTAAATGATTCTATGACCGTTTTATAGCTCTCATTTTACTGTTTAAACCTATATTAAAAACTAAAAATATATTTTTGCGACCAGTGACTGGTTTGGATGTCTTTGCTACATACCATTGGTGTTATTAGGCAGCATAAAATGGTCCATTAAAAGATATCTTTACCCTTACAAATTAAATGTAAAACTTCCCCATGTAGAAAATTAACCTATGAACAAAGAACTAAATTTGTTTTTATAATAATAATAACACGTCGATCTTATATAGCGCTTCATGCACAAAACATCTAAGCACTTCACATTACTACCCCAGTCATTGGATCAAACACATATGGATCACCAAATTAAATTATTAAATTATTAAATTAAATTATATTATTGTTCCATAATATTTCAGTGCAGTTGTGTTGGAACCCACTTGTACTCTTGGGTGGAGAGAGGCAACCGTAGATAAAGTACCTTGCCCAAGGACACAAGTGATTTGCACAGCATATTTCAACTTGATTAAATGTCATAAATTACTATATAAAATAAACTACACCACACTATACACTTGCTACTTAAATTTCAGTCTTTCAGTACCATGTTTTGAAACATAAAACTGATTTTACAATTGTAAAACTGGAAAACAAATTCTGTAGCTTGATAGATTAATACTTAAAAATGTAAAAAAATAATTTGATAATCATATATTTCTAGAATCAATAATATAGGAATATTATTATTTGCTATTTCTATGAAAGCTCAATAACACTATATAAAATAAACTACACCACACTTTACATTTGTTACTAAAATTTCAGTCTTTCAGCACCGTGTTTTGAAACATGAAATTGATTTTACAACTGTAAAACTGAAAAACAAATACTGTAGCTTGATGCTTAAAAATGTAACAAAATAATTTGATAATCATATATTTTTAGAATCAATAATATAGGAATATTATTATTTGCTATTTCTATGAAAGCTCAATATTGTAGGAATGTTCCCAATATTAGGGATTTTTAAATCAAGTCTACTGATTTTGAAATTTTTTTTTCTGGCTTTTTCATGAAAATATCTTTTCTATTATTTAAGTATTTTGGATATACAATTTTGGTTTATACTCTTTCAAAAATAGATGGAATGAAATTTCCAGACATTTAGCACCCAGATAACTTGGTAGACCTAGTATAGGGATATTCTGGACCTTTCCAACATTTCTTCTTCATGAGGGTTGGAATGTATGGTGGAATATGCCAGAACAGAGGACAAGAAATGGGATAGGGACAAGAAAATATACCTCTCAATTAGGAATGTTTTAGGAGATCTGACAGGAATGGAATCTAATTATAACAATATTCTGGCAACCAACAGTTGCTATTAAAAGAGGGAAATAATAATTTAATAACTTTATTCATTCCACCACTTACGGTACATTACCAAAACCAAGAAGGCAATGCCTGTAAGCAGGTCCGGTGCTAACTTATAAATTAATGCCTTAAATAAACACCAAACGGATACAAACATGGTCCTTAACACGCCTAACTCTCTTGAGAGGTTTATTCGAGGAGCTCAGCGTTTTTTGTTATTATAAAAGACCCGAATTCAATACTCGACACAGAGCCGGTTATCGAACCCGGGCCCTGGCGTGCAAGAGGCAGGAACCATACCAATTAACCAAACACTCAGCTCTAAACTTATAACCCACTGCACCATAAATGCAATCCATAATCAGAAAAGTATGAGGAATGGCTATAAAATTAATAATGCACCAAAATAAGATTAACAATTTTAAACTTTGCCTTGAAATTAGAAAGCTGCTGATCTTATTTTACTTACCTTTACTTAGAAAGAAAAAAATTATACAAATTCTATTTTAATATTATATTTTTTAACTTACTGCTACTGTATGCTAAGTACTTGGTTTTGTTGTACTTAATATTAGGAAGTAAGGTGTAATTCCTATATGCCTTTCATACTGTCCCACTGTCACTCTGTTTGTTAACACAAAGGTAACCCCCTTTTGCAGATTCTCATTTTGAGATCTTGTCAAAGATTTCAACATCCAATACACGATTAATCTAGAAGTTTATATTGACCTTAATCCACACGGTTGTGCGTTTGATCTAATCTTTCCAAGATCCTATCAATATATTACCCCTTTTACACTGCAAGCAAAACTCTGGACTCAACCCGGGATTTTCCAATACCCGAACTAAAAACTCCGGAGTTTGGTAAGTGTAAACGGCAAAAAAAGGGGCTTGGGTTGCCAAACATTCCGGGTTCGAGGTGCAGTATGCGGGTACAAACCAGATTCGCCAGTGTTAACAACACCAAATTTAATTCCAGATTATATGCCTTACCTGGCGTCTACCACAGCTATGATCAGGTAGGCCTACAGTAAACTTTGCTGTCAACGGGCTATGTCAAGACACTTTTCAACCTCTTGCCTTTCGATATAGACTAGGCAAAATTGTTGATTTAATTCGCATTCAAAAAAAAAAATCTGCAGATACATTGCTTCCAATACTGACAATAATAGCAGCTCCATCACGACTCAAGCAACTTGAACGATGTGATGATCACCATTGAAAGACAAAGTGAGAGCAGTATTTGAACCTGTGTTTGTTGCCGGAGAAAAATGGGTGTAGACTCAAGATGAACCCCGCAATTTTTTTTTTTATGTAAATGGAAATGCATGCAGTAACACTACGGAATTAACATGTGTTTATTCTGAACTTGGCAGTGTAAAAAGGATATAGGATCTTATCTGCAGATCACATCAATATCGGTTCTAATCCAGACTAGATTTGATCCAGATCACCTGGTTCATCTCTACCGTATGCATGCCCAACTGAAGGTAGCTTTTCCCCCCAAATCTTCATTTACCTCAAGAAAGTAGTATATCATAATCAGGTGTATTAGACGTTTGACCTTGTGGTTCCTTTAAAACTTCCTTGCCTAGCTGTGAGATTGGTTGCATCTGGAAAGCAATGATAAATGATTTGCCTAGTGAAGAAAAAGTGATGTGTTTTACCGAATTTCAATTTGAAGCATCTACAGAAGCTAAATTTAAATACCATATATAGTAAAATATAGAGTATCAATTTGAAATGCTACACAGGTCAAAATAATTGAGTTCACACCAGGTTTTAGTAATAAAATTCTTAAATAAATTGATTACCAGTCAATTAAGGGTATGCAAAGCATAGTAAAGTATACTGTAGTATAGTACAGTAAGTTCAGTATAGTACAGTATATACAAATTATGAAGTTTTATTAGTGCAATGGGACAGAACATCAAATCTTTCACTAACAGATTTCTTATACAAACTTAGGGCCTGTTTCTGCTGAGCAAAAAAACATGTGTTTTTAAACGGTTATTAAAAAACCGATCGCTCGTCCGCGGAAAATTCGGGGCAAAGAAAAAAAATTAAACCAATAGGAGGACATGCTTGAAGATCATACCATACCTTTTTCATACTTTTGTGGTGTGTTGTTTACTTCTTTCGCAGCATGCGCTGTAGCTCGCAAAAAGTAAGGTCAGCTTCAACTTCCATTGGTGACCGTCATTTAATCTCCGCCCAGCACCTGCCAATGCTCGCATTACTGTGTTTTATTTAGTTGCATTTTTCACTAGAAACGCATTCAGAATGAATTTAACCGTTTATAAAAAACATGTGTTTTTGGCGTTATACAGCAGAAAAACGCCCTAAAATACTTACTTTATGAAATTCAACCAAATCTTTCAATTTTTTATGAATAACCTGATCAGTACCGAAAAACTGATAACCCGAGAGAGATGCGTCAATGAGGAAATGTTTGATCCTCTCCTTGTCCTTGAAAGAGAGAGTATAACCCCAGATCCTCTCGCTTAGCCTCACCAGGAATGTGCCAGGCTCTTTGTCCTCTAGTATTACTTCTGTTTCGTTCCTGGACAGTATGCCTAGCAAATGGGCAAAGCAAATATTTATTTATTTATATATCTTATTCAATTCAATGTTTTTTACATATTACAGTACAGGATGGAATAATGCCATACGTTAAACAATTTAATCTATTTCACAGGATCAATGTTAAATCAAATCAACTGGATTGAATATCATTGGTGTTAGATTCATGAAGAATAAACCACAAAACCCAGAAGATATTCTGGGGAGGGGAGGGGGCCTTCTGGTGGTAAATAAGAGAGTACACCAGGTGACATCCCTACTTTTTTTTTGTTAAATGTAAAGTGCTTTGTTTGGCCATATCACACACTGGACTATTTAATGTCTCATCTAAAAGATGGTATTGAAACTTCTATTTGAACTCTCCCATTAGGATCACAAGGTGAGCAGCAGATAGAACTGAACTAGCGACCAAAGATCTTAATGGTGTAATGGACACACAGTGGCTACCACCAATTTAGCTGACTGAGCTAAGCTTCTCTCATTGTTAATCAATATGTGGCAAAGACAAGCCAAACCAGTCACTCGTCGCAAAACCTGTTTTAGAGATAATGGCCAAAACATGCTGGAATGTCAAAATTTTGGAAATCTATTTTATTGCACTAAACTAACCTTTATATATATATACATCATGCTATGCTGTTATTGTCCTCATTTTCAATGTTAAAATAACGATTTGGTGATAGTTTCTGCCTAAGAAATGCCTGAAATCGTAAACTTTAAAGGCTGATTTCTTAAATAATGTTCTTTAAACTGCTGTATGTTTAAACTCCTGTAACTTCACAACGAAGTGTCGGATTTAAATGATTCTTTCACCATTTTATAACTCTCATTTTACTATTACACCCTTTATTAATAACTAAGAATTAATTTTTCCGACGAGTGACTGGTTTGGCTTGTCTTTGTCACATATGGTTCGTTATCACCTACCATGCATCCATGTATCTGGCCTATTTGTGATGAGGTCAAAGCCAGCCTTCTTTGGTAACTCAACTTCCTTGTACCACTCGATTACCTCATGCCTGTTCTTTGGTTTTGGACCACGACCTTTTCTGGAGATACAAAATAAAATTCTGTTTATATAAATTTATCACACTTAACCATGAGTACCGGTAACTCATAATTTATTGAAATTATAATTTCAATCAACCATAGGCCTCTACAAATAAGCTAATTGGTAGTTTGAACTGCGCATGCCCGTATCAAGGTCAATTGACATACACACAACATACGTTTATGCCAATTGACCTTGGATACGGGCATGCACACTTCAAACTACGAATCGGCATATAACAGTCTTATATAGCAAATCATGTCAAGGGCTTCAGATTAAGTGTTCCACATTATCCTTGTCATTGAATCAGACACTTATGGTACGCAACTTAGCTCATTGGAGGAGTATTTGATAATGCTTCAGCTAGTAAGCCTTTTGGCATTTACACACTTTGATGCTTGACAAAAAGTGGCTTATGAGACTTAGGCAGTCAAGTTGATTTTCATTGTTAATTGATTGCAAGACATGGTATTTGCCAAAGCCATGAGTAACAACAGCAAAACAATACCAAAAATAAACATCCATGTCAAATAATAATAACAATAATATAATAACAACAAATAATAATAATAATAATTAATACAAATCAATAATACTAACTAATAGTAATAATAATATTAGAAACAGCAACCACAACAACATTATTGTGAATGGAGGACATAACAGTGGAAATGATTCTTCTGCCTTTTATGCCGTTTTCGTTATTAGTTTTCTTTGTAGTATTAGGATATTTCATGGTTATGTTTCTTTTTGTTCATGTAAAGAGCATAGAGGCCACTGTCTTGTATTATGAACTATAAAAGACTTTATTATTATTATTAATGCTACGACGTTGAAATGAACCAATGACTTTGTCATTGCAATTTAGCAGCTCAATATTCATCGTCCTACAAAATTATTTAATAATGTTACATAATCAAAGAGTTTTTTTTATTAAGACATAATTAAATGCTAATATTTATAGTTTTCACATTATAAAAATATCCTCATCTATGATTTATGGAACCAAATCTGAAATACTACAATTCTTAACTAAAAACAAGAATATTTACAAAAGCAATTGTTATAATGTATTGGAATGCATTACAAAGAAACCAAAGCACTTCAAATAAATACTACGCCAAAGAATGTAGTCCCTTGAGAATCTGTTAAATTCCGTTCACTACAAAGGTACTTAGGATCAAATTATATTCAGGGATTGCCTTTTGGCCTTGTTTATCTTAAAGCTTGTAATGCCCTCAGCCGAGCTATTAGTCATGATTGTTATAGAATCCTTTGCCACATAATGAAAATGAATTGAAACAACAAACCAAATTATTATCACTTATGATAAATAAATCAAGTTTAATAATATTAATAGTAGCTATTTATTTATAGGTAAATCGTTATAATTATTTATCACCTAAATTCATCGCACTTCCAGCTGCGAAGGTGCATAGAAGTCTAAACATTGTGCTTTATAAATTCACAATTATTATTATTATTATATTATAATAATAAATAAGATTTATATAGTGCACATATCCACTTTAGAAAATACTCAAGGTAGTAAAATGATGACATAAATATATTACAAAAAACAGTGTATTATATTCATAAAAAGCTATATTGAGCATTACTACTAGTTTTTAGTAGTTAGTAGAGTTGTATTCCATACACTGGCAAAAATTCCTTGCATTTTTTTCTACAAATCATTGGGGAAGTACTGAGTATTAGTGATAACACATTTGGTTGGATAAACATCAATCCTATTGACTTTCTTAAAAGCAAACATCTCACAAAATATTTTTTTCATTATTTAACATAATACATTAAAATCTAAATGACTATAAAATTCTTACGTGTTGTCCACTATGTCGGTAATCTGTAAGCTATCAAAATCACGAGACTGACGTGACTTTCGAACTTCATCACGTGCCCATTGCGCCCAACTGCGTCTGTCTTGGTCTGCTGTTCTTGATTTCCGCACTGTTTTGTAGAATAAAATTGTTAATCACAAAGTATTTGTTTTAAAGTTAAAGACACACCACCCTATGGTTTAGTTTTTAAAGATTCATGAACCTTAACCTGACCCTTCCTGAACACATTTAATTTTACAGACTTCAAAAACATAATTACAGTATGTGATTAGCCACAGACTTGGAACCCTTGGCCTATAAGCCAACAGCTTTACTAATGTACTATATGCTTAATTAAGTTTTAATTAATTGAAAAAATCAGATTTGATATTAAACTACCATTATGCTAGAAGGCAGATACTGTAAGACATACTGAAGTTGAGGAGCCAATTGTTTCCTGAGGAATACGCTCAGAGAATTTGGTCAGGAAGTTATAGATTATGACTATATTAAAATAAACAATAAAGCATTGAGCTGACTGGTTGACTCAGAGGTACAGTATTATTCCTGCATTTTGTGCTGAGACCCAGATTCAAACCCAGCCAGCGTTGGGTTTTATTTGGTGTCTGATAGCTTGGCTCCTCGAATAACCCTCATATTGAGAGTTAGGCGAGTTATGCTGTGTCCATTATGTTGTAGTTAAGTTGGGTCACGTGGCACTGAATTTTCGATTTTTTATTAGAATGTGGACCAATAAAGAATTATTATTACTATTATTTAGAAAACAAATCATCAAAGGCCATTTATTATTGTTGTAGGCCAAATCAACTTTAATACCATGTAAGTGTAATCTTCCCTTCATATAGATTAGTTTTATGATCGTTTTATTATCAATCTAAAACTTGGATTGTTTAAACATGAACATCAATTACAACAATTAAACTACAAAGGAGCTCTTGATAGATGTGATAATGGTAAGTAATGACAATAATAAAAATTTGATATTAGAAAGTATTCGATCACAATGACAACTTGAAGTCAACCTGCAAGCTCTGAACAACAAAGAATCTAAACTTCATTCTAGAATCCAAACAAGAACTCAAAGTCTTTGCATTACTGATGGCTCAAGGCCCGGGGAGCTCACTTGCATACCAACCAAACAGGGGGTACCGCAGCCACTTCAAGACATGAGACACTTGCGCTACCTATCATACTAATTCTTATGGACTCCAAACTACCATTTACCAAAATCGCACTCTAACAGACGACAGGAAAAAAGCCACTCAATAGTGCCCGAGAGGGTGTAATATTTACTGGTTCTTAATGGCAAAAAATGTTCCGCCTGGTCGCAATCTCGTAGCTGTACAAAAGGTAGGCTTAGCAAGTGGCTTACCAGCTTAGCACCCAATCTAGCTGAAATTCCTGCTAAAATCATGCAGAAAATCGTGGCAATTTGACACAGGATGGGCCAGGGACTTAACTACCAATTTCAGACCAGTTTCCCAACCTTGTGCTACAAAGTCCTCGCAAGTATTTTTCCCATACTTGTGCTACCAGTTCCTTGAAAATATACCCCGTAAATGCGGCACCTCCCCGTATAGAAATATTTAAGAGTGAGCCCCCGGGCTCAAGGGACACTTTCAGGTGACCCTTAATAGGAACTCTACATGGCGTAGGCTAGGGGGTGTATTCATATTTCCCCTAAGTGGGTTAAAATGCTAAAGTGACCACTGAGGTTTTTATTGGAATAGTGATGATAAGGATTAATTACAATGATGAGGATTAAGTAAAGACGTAAATATTATTAGATAAGACTGCAATAATAATGAAGGGTCCAACAATACTTACATTGAACATTCCAAATGTGTTCGATCCTCTCTCTGTTCTTTTCCGCCTCATGAATACTTTGTTTTCGCTTCTTCTGCAAAGTTTTGTAAATCTCTTCTGCTCGTTTTTCTTCCTCAGTTTTCTGTTTAGCTTCTCTGTCAACTTCTCTGTCTTTGATTTCCTTCTCTTCCCTTTCCTGGAGAAAAAATAATTTTCATTACTTGAATTATGTGGAAATAAGCTAACCATTTTAAGCATCTAACTTTGGACCTAGACGAAGAAAGGTGTAGTGATCCACCCACATACCGGTATGTGATAACTAGATCTCTTGATCTTGAGGCAATAGATGTTCCCGAAAAATGCAAATCTCGTGTCTAATATTCCTTTAAATTTGACATTTCAGGCTTAGAGTTATTGATCTTTTTAGAGTGTCAATCAAATATGCTTGAAGTTTAAACTTCTTTTACCAGTACTTCTGTCAGACAAAAGCAAGTAATATATTGCTTTAGGCAATCCTAGGCCCAGGTACCCACATCTACTGTAATCTAAGCCCAGCAAACACCAAATGTTCTGATAACGTTCGTGAACGTTGTAAATATAAGTTATAAGAACATACTTTTGGTTCTACAAAATGACATTTTTAACACCAAACTGTAATGTTATTATGACATTCTTATAACGTAATACTAGGCAGCTTTCGATTGCACGACGACGGTAGGACGTAGAAACGTCACTAAAAGTCTTCTGCACATGCGGGAACATTAAGTTTTGCTCGTCGTGTGGATTCTAGGACGTAATTTGGCCAAATCTATGTATGCAGAGAATGTAGGACGCCCTGTAGGACTGCCATGCATGAGTGATTCAGTCATAGCGTCGCCTCGTCGAACAATTTGAAAGTTTCCTATTGTTAGCTGGGAGACTATTCTGTAAGAAACCTACCATTTGTAATTGCAGCTGCTTTTCCTTTTCTATAATTTCTTTTGCTCTTTTTTCCTTCTGTAATTTCTCCTCCTCAAGCTTCTTTAGCATATCTTGCTGCTCTTTTTCTCGTTTTTGTTTTTCTTGTTTTTCTTTCTCTTGTTTTACCCGTGCTTCCTTCCTTTTCTGTTCCTCCATCACAGCTTTCTCTCGTTCTTGCCTTGCTCTTTCTTCCTTCGCTTTCAAAAGCTTCTCTTCTTCCCGTTTTATTTTTTCTTCCTCTTTTCTTCGCCTTTCTTCCTGTTCTTTTATTTTTCTTGCTTTTTCTTCTAAAGCAGCTTTTTCTCTTGCAATTCTCTCCCGTTCCTCTTTCAATTCTTTTTGTTTTCTTCTCTCCTCTTCCTCAATTTTCTTCCTTTCTGCAATTTCTTTGAGTCTAGAAAAACAGATATTTTCAAATGCTTAGAATAAACAAATTAATAGTAGTATTGTTATATTAAACTGTAACTAATATTGACAATGAAATTTTAGATTTAAATATGATATATACATTATAATTTATTTGTCCTCACTACCAAGGGTGATCCATCTCTCATAGATAATTTGGGACAGTTTTATTTACACAATGCAATAAATGAACAAAGAAAACATTCAATTAGGTTCTATGCTTATAAAATTGTTTTTTCTTGGACATTAATTAGATTATTTTTATAAACCCTCTGCTGTTTATATTCTTAAGCACCTTAAGTATTTCTATAAAATGAATATAACAGGAGCACTGTACATTTTATATACACTATTTATTACATTTATTTACTTATTTATTATTATTATTATTATTATTATCATTTTCAGGAGCAAAGGTGAGTACAGTATGTTTCCTCTCTGAATCTACCACTAAATGTGGCAAAGAAAAGCCAAACCGTTCACTGGTCGCAAACCATGTTTCAGAGATAATGGCCAAAACATGCTGGAATGTCAATATTTTAAAAATCTATTTCATAGCAAATTTATGTTCATTTTTAGTATTTTAACTCATTCAGTTGAAATAATTTGCTGACATGAAGGGGTGAGCCTACACCCATGCATTCCATTTATATATGCAAATGTGTGCAATTTCTCAAACCTTTTCAACTCAGCTTCCTTATGTGCTTCTTTCCGAGCGGTTTCAAAGCTTTCTTCTTGAAGGATTTCCTCGATCGTTTTATCGTTTTTGTGCTCCCCCATAACCCATACCCATGGATTGCCATCCTTGGCCAGTAAAAAATCAATTTTCTTTCCTGCATATAATAAAAAATGTCAATCGCCAGATAAGCCATCTGTCTGAATTCAACTATGTCATAAAAATGCAAATCCTTATCGCATATTTTAAATTTGTTACATATATATTTTTGTAATTTTAGAAATTCAAAATAAATACCTCAACAGATATTTTAATAATTTTAAGGCTACTACCTGGATCATCATGATTGAAATTATGCTTACTGTGAAAGCAAATATTATGCATTTTGAAGATAATAATTACATTATCAATTGTTGTATTGACTTCATAAACATACAAATATTACCATAGTCGAAAGAATACTTACCATTCTTTTTCTTTATATTTTTTTGTTTTTCTACTTTAGCATTCCATTCTTTCCATCTTCGTACCTGTTCCTCACGCATTTTGAAATACAGAATTTGTTTCTGTTCCTCGGAGAGCTCTGCCAGAAGCTCTGGGTCTATGTACATATCTTTCAAAATCTGCTGCAACATTTTGATACGTTTCCTTTTACAAAAATCTAACAAATTTTAAATAGTTTATATCATATCACTTCCACAGTCACAAGTAAAGGATGTTTATCTAATTCCCATTGATTCCATATGGCAAATAATACAGCTTACATCTAGATACAAGAAAAAGAAAAAAAAAAACATGATCCATTACAGGAGCTACATGTACCGGTATACGTACAGGTATTTAAAAAATATCCTCACTGTCATTGTCAACGTCATCATCATCAATATTACTATCATAGTTATTGCTGCGAAGCAGCCAATTCATATTCTTGACAGCAATTTGACCTCTGAAAGGTCATTGTTTGTCAAAAAACGAGTGCCTAAGACGACTGAAAAGCGGAGTTTCCTTCTTTCGTTCTGCCGG